TTACAGTAATAGTAAATCATCGCTGATGGAGCAAAAACAATCTAAACTCTTAATGTAAGGTAATGATGTTATTCTAAGTTGTTCTGAGCTATTTCTGTTTGTCCATTAATTATGAAAGAGTGTACATGGCAAATTATGTAAAACGAACTGCAAAAATGAAGATACAACTTCTTATAGTATTAGTAATGTGTCAGAATCTTTGATTATACCATAGTTAGTTCTCACTTAACAGTGTGACATAGTCTAGCGCCCCCCGATAATGGCACTCTGAACTCATCTGTTTAAGGGATCTGTTCAATCCCCTTTCTTATTTTTACCCCTACCTCTTGTTTTGAGTGTCACCTTGCCCCTCGGAACTGAGTTACAGGGGGTAGTGGTTGAAATCTTCCCTCTGAAATGGGACCCTCAAATAAAAAGAGCATTACTTCATTAACAGCTACCAGCGCTGCTCTGTAGGCGACCCTGCCAGTCTGCAGTGACAGCAGAGGAGGGTAAAGTTCAGCTCCTCACTGCTGGGCTTTAGTTACATTTAGGGCATCATATGCCTTCAAAGAGGGGGGCAATTATTTATTATCACCCACCCCTAATTCTTCAGTGATATGAAGCTATTCGCCAGCTTCTTGTTCAAATTCTCTGTTTGACCGTAAATGAAGCAGCAGTTCTGACATCTGAGGCTCCAGAATGTAACTGCTGCACCATTTAAGGTGGAAAGGGAAACTTAGCTAGCTAGCTACTGAGACATCAGCATACTACTAGTGATTTTTTATGCTTGCTATGAAGAAAAGGACCATAATACATTTAAACAGCATTAAACTGAAAGATAATACAATAGTTATTGTAATTTTTAGTGGAGAAAATACTCAGATTTATGGGTTTCTTTGGTCGTTTGCGCTGCCATCTCTTTTTTCTTTTCTTTCTCGTAACACCCATTTAGAGTGTGCCTCTAAAAAACCTTGTTTGGAGGGCCTTGTAGTCCTAACACTTCACCCTACCCCTCCATCTCAACAAAAAATCGGGACACCCTAGACGTGAATGTGCAAAACGGAGGGATAAAGGCTGAGTGGTAGGGGTGAGGGGTGAAATGGGATTGGGTCTAAGAGTCACTCCACCTTATTTACATGTAACCTTGCAAAGACAATCAGCCATTCAAAAAAGTTAAAATGTTTCTGTCTAAGAGGAAAGCACTGAAAGACTACTGCAGCTGGCTAAAGGCTAGAGAAGCTCCACCGCATGCCGGCAGAAGGTCTCTGGCATCGGGTAGCAGATACTACAGAGCGCAGCTGGAAGTGCCGCAGAAAAGCACAGATCAACAAGAAGCTCGAGGTCTTTTTAGATTCTACTCATGCAGACTCATAAAAATCCCCATAGCAGTGATATCCTGCTGGCATAAGAAGCTACAGAAAGTGGCTGAAAAGTGCTGAAAGTGCGATTTTAGTGAAAGTAAAAGTCTGTAACTTGCCTGGGTGGCTGCAGTAGCAGTGGAGCAGCTTATGGACAATGGACAATGAGCGTAGAAACAAGGAGGTGGTCACAGTGTTATTCCTGATCGGTGTAAATATTAGGTTATTAACAGCTCTACAAAGCATCCACATTCAATTGTCAGAAAAATATGACATCTAAAGCAGATCATTTAGTTACCTCCCACAAAAATGTATCTCTCCCTTTGAGCGTCATTCAGTTTATACAGTAAACATTTTGCCTCATTCAGTAGCTTCGTAGCTAAAAAGCTAAAAATGTTCATAATAAAGACATTTAAAACAATTATAGAGAGCCTGTAAACATCAACAGTCAGTGTACAGTAACTGCATAAACTACACAGTAACATGTAGCTGGTCGGATAGTGGTACTCCATCTGATCAGCTTCATGTGATTATCTTATTTCTATCATTTATTTATTTCCTCCTGCTCCTTCTTAAAATGTCTTTTCCCAAGCTTTGAATAAAAATCACTGTTCTCATTTTTTTCAGTCCTGTTTGCAAACCTCAAAAAAAAGGAAATATTTTTGAAAATGCCTTAAAATTATGTTCTTTTTTTCGCTCACTCATGGAGAACTGTGAGAAATGTTTTATATTTAGCATTTTTCCCCACATTGAGCTTCAATAAATAAACAAATAAATAGATAAATTATAACACATAATCCGCGACAACATCAGAGCCCCAAATAGAACTTCATTTAGGATTAACGACTAAGTGATGGCTGAATTACAGCACGCTGGCTGTCGGCAGGCACCTAACGCAGTGTCCTCTGTTCAAAATCAGCAATGAGACAGAGCAGGACACACCGAGCCTGGACAGCGACTAAGAAAGATTTTCAAAAACCAATTACCGTTAATAGTCATTAATGACACTATTAATAATGTCCATCTATTAATGTCTGTGTAATTTGTCTCAGTGACGTCTGCACAGTTTGACATGGATGTGAAGGCCCACCGTTAAAGCAGAGCTGATGGATTCCTGTTAGCTGTAAATAATTGATGTTTATAGTCTGAGGCCAAAGCTGTTTTCTGTAAAACCCCTCCAATGACGGGGGCTGTGGACTGTATACCTCTGCAGGCTGGTCAGTCATTATTTAAAGCGATAGTCCTACTTACTGCAAACACAGTCAATCAATCAAGAAACTGTTACTCTACATATCCAAAAGGGTGTTAATAGTGAGTTTGTCTCCCTTTGCTGCAGTAACAGCCTCTACTCTACTGGGAGGGCTTTACATTAGATGCTGGAACATTGCTGTGAGGATTTGATCGAGCACTGATGTCGGTCAGGTACTGATGGATGGCCAGTTCTGGATCAGTCCAACTCATCCCAAAGGGGTGAGTAGTTGAAACTCACTTCAGAGAACGCAGCTCCACTGCTCCACAGCCCAATGCTAGGGGGCTTTATACCCCTCTAGCCCAAGCTTGGCACTGGACAAAGTGACCTCAGACTTATGTGCAGCTGCTCCAGAGCATCTCATTCTATTGGTCACTGCTTTTCTTTGGATATTATACAAGCTACCTATGCAGGCCTGGAATCAGAGGGTCAGTTAGTGGGGCAATGCCCCACCAACAAACCATTATGCCCTACTAAACCCACTACCTTTTATACAACAAACTAAATTTCAGATGCACTTCTACTGCTTGCACAATATTACTTTAGCCTTAAGCTCATGGGCAGCTGCTCTAGAGCATCCCATTCTATTAGTCAATGGTTTTCTAAGTGAACACCTGTATCAGGAATATTGTGTCCTTAAAAATGGACAGAAAATGCAGACAAAATTCAAGATTTAAGACTCAGGAAGTGCTGTTTAAGCTTTTTATAGACAACAGTGTGTTATACAGTGTCAGAAACCACATAATCAAGTCTCTCAGGCTACGTTCACACAGCAGGTAAAACTGGCCCAAATCAGATTTTTCACCAAACCGATTTTTTGTTCGGCTGTTCATGATAAGTTTTAAATGTGACCTGTATGTGACATCAGTCTGAACAGATCAGCTCCTAAACTGACCCACACGTGCAAAAGAACAGAGCGTCACGCTGCTTCACGGTCTCATCCAAAGGTAAACAATCGTGGCTGCCAACGAACGCCAGTCGCTCCCAGAGGGTTATCTTCACCAGCATCACAGGAGCCATCATGAAGCTTCACTGACTGACAGCTGGGCTCATCACCCAGAATGTGTTCGAGCCATAAAAAGGGCGCGGCCACTTCTTTGGTTCGTGTGCTCAGATTCTTTAAAGTTTGCTTTCAGACTTTTAACTGTTCTTTGACGCTGCAGCCTCGTTCTCCTACGGCCGCGTTCTGACATTTCTTTCTAAATCTCTTTGAACACAGAGGTGTTTTGGATGCGTCACGTCTAATTTTTAGTATACAAACATCAGCCCAGATGTTTAGGAGGTCTCAGCAGCACAAAGTCATGAAGAATGTCGAGTTGGACTGACATAAAAGTCGCATGAATTCCGATCTGGCTGTTCAGACTGAGTTGCATCACTGTATATGGGATACGGATCAGATTTCAGTACCACATACGAAAGCGTCTCAAATCGGAATTGAAAATGTCAGATTCAGTGTGTTTATCTGTTCACACTGACACACAGACACACATCTGTATCACATATGAAGAAAAAGATCGAATTTGGGCCACTTTTACCTGCTGTGTGAGCAAAGCCTAAGAGATACTGAACAACTCAACACAGATCGAAACAGGTGTGATGATTCAGCCATGCAGTTCGCATTAAGCTAATTGGTGTTGTATAAGCATTCATTATGTGTTTTCTACACTAGCTGTGTAGCCCTGGTGCAAAACTAAAGAAGAAAATTGCAGACAACCAACCTGTTTTGGCAGATTGTCTACATTTGCGGTAAGGGGGAATGTTTGGGGAGTGTATATTTGATTTTTTTAACCAAACTATCACTTTGAAACATACTAGAGGGATTTCTGTTTGCTGTAAATAATTGATGTTTATAGTCCAAGGCTGCTGCAGTCTTGGGCGTAGGCCTGCTTTTCTGTCGGCTGGTCAGGGTAAATATGGGAAGCCATTATTTGCAAGGTGACCTTACACAGCTTTGCAGCTGCTTTACAGGGCCCATAACATGAAAACAGTCGTCCCCCCTTTTTTTTCAACAAGAGTTTGTGCCATTTACTCCATACAGTCTATATGTAGAAATGAAGGCGTATCTGTGATGCCTCGAAAACCAGCACATTTACACATATCCACCTGCTCACCCTACGGCACTTCAGCTCCACCCATTCATAATGAAGTTTGCTCTTTGAATGAGGGCAGCCAATCAGAACAGAGCTCATTTACATATATCAGTCCTAAAGGCACAGTTACAAAAACAGGCTGTGTAATTCTGAAGGATAAAGAGAGATAATGTAAAAATGGATTATGACTGTTTTTGCTGTACATAGTCATACAAATGTCATAAGAGGACCTTAGTGAAAAATGTAAAATTCAACTAAGATGTATAATACGGGCCCTTTGAAGGCAAACTGCACTGTGTGAGGGTGGTCAGTAAACGCTACCTGTTCCAGAAGGTCCTCCACCTTCCTCTGCCAGCTCTCTCTGGCTGCCATCAACTCCAGATCTCTCTGCTGGGACACCTGAGTGAGGACCGCCTGTTTATCGGCCTCATGCTCATCTGTCAGCTCCTCTCGGAGGCTCTTCAGCTCCGCTCTGGAGATACAAACACAAAGAATCCACATGAAAATGGAAAATACTGCAGTATGTTGTCAATACATTTCATTGTATAAATATAATTAGGGCTGTCACTACCGATCATGTTAGCAGTTAAATAATCTAACAATATTTTTTGTAATTAATAGAGTAATTAGAGTAAAAAACGGACTTGGACTTTAACAAAGTTATAAAGAGAATATACTGTAATGCGCAGTACTGTGCAAAAGTCAGAGACCACCCTTTCATTTTAATTTCCAGCCAAAAGTACAAGTTACTCGTTCTTAAGGGTCGGAAAAAAACAGAAAATATATATTTACCAGAGAATTAAACAACTAAATATTGTTATTTTTTTTAGCATTTATTGTATCAACTCTTTATCTTTATTCCAGCTTCCATTCTTTTCAGGAGACTCACTTTCAGTTCCTCAAAGAATCTGCAGATCTTTCAAATCTCACATCCTTTCAGACCCACAGCGCTGAGTCGTCTTCTCACAGTGGAAGGATGGACAGAAACACCTGTGGATGTTTTCAGATCTGAAGCAGCTTGATTTTCTCCTCTCTCTCAGAGATGAAAGCTTTAAGTGCTGTTTATCTGATAGGGGCAGTTTTGGTGTCTACCAGGTCTTCCAGGTGGTTGTTAGGAGTCTCATTTTCTCTGTAGCTTTCTTTGACTTTCTCCTTCATATCTTATATCTGATCTCATAACTCTTGAAACGTGAATAACTTGTACTTAATGGCTTTTCTGACTGGAAATTAAATAAACGAAGGGTGGTCTTTGACTTTTCACAGCACTGTGCGTTAAACGTATTCCATTTTTGTATGGGAGAGAAGACTCTTTGGTGAATGCAGGTATTAACAGGCAGAAAAACGGAGCTGAGAAAGCAAACAAGCGGCGCACGGCACCACCCCCAGCTTAGCCAAACACAGCCGTAAGCCACTGTGAATATTAGACGCTAACCTTGTACACCTGTAATTAGCATATTTTAATCCACCTGCGAGCCTCAGCGATACAAGATTTGTCACGGCGTTTACAGCAGTGGAACCGCTTCTATTTCTGTTGCTCTTCTATTCAAATTACACTGCAGAACATCTTGTGCGCTACCTTAGAGCGTCCGTCCATTTGTTATCCAGCTCCTCTGTGATTTTATCCATTTTCTGCTTCTCCTCGGCTTTGATGGTGATGATCCTGGCCTCGTGGTGCTGCTTCTGGCTTTCTATCTCCTCCTGCGGAAAAGGTCAAGCAGAGGGAGCTCAAAACGGGTAAAACACAATCACAGCTGAAGACAGAGTGATTGGAGTTCGCTGTAGAGCTGATTACACAAAGCAGGATCATTAGCTATGCTTGCTCTTTCCGCGCTCCGCCTGCCAAGCCCACGCGCACGGAACAAAAGTGGCAGTTTGGGCAGCCTTCACAACTGAATGAGGCTTAATTTTTCTTTTAGCGCCCCTGCCATCCTGCATTATCCATCTCTCAAGGTGCTGAATTCCCTCATTTCTCTCATCGTGAGTGATGTGACATCCCAACAGTTACAGCCGTCCTTCTCTGAAAGATGTTAAAGCGCTGCTGATGTTCATGGGAGCTTTTGTACTTGCACAGTTAATCTACTCACATCTGTAGACTATTCACAATCCTATACACTATCTTTTTCCAACAGATGGATTCAACCACACAATCTGATGGGCTGAAAAGAGTTCCACCTGTGTTGATATATATGATAACAGCATGTTTTCATCATAAATGTATCATCCCACTGTCCACCTGCTGCCGTAAAACAATAATGGTTGCTTTACTCTTAGCTGTTGGAACTACTTTCTTAGGTGGAAGAAGCTTCCAATACTAAAAATATATATTTCAAACAATGTCGGGAGCAAATCTTAAATGAACTTTTCTCTTTTCAAATTTTAATTTTAAAATAGCTAATACACTTTTTTTTTCTTCTGAAAAAAAGGCAGTTTTAATGCATATATATGATGCTTATTTCACTGTAAAACATAAAAACTCTTGGTCACATATTTTTTCATATATATATATATATATATATATAAAATTTTTCAGTTTCTGACATAATTTGAAATACCTATTTACCCTTTACACTATGTGTATTTCATGAAGAATGGACCAAGAGAAACGGCCCAAAATGACTTGGGGAAAAAAGTCTGGTTCCATTGACTTACATTAAAAGTAATGTAGGTTTTTTCCTTCTCCTGTAAAGTCACCATTTTGGAGATATGATGATATATGATTTACGTTTATTTGCATTTATCTTCTAATGATATATGGTGTTTTTAGAATTAAAGTAAAATACTGCCAAAATAGTGCCAAAATAAATGGTTTTGAACAATGTGTTTAAATGTGTAATCATAGCTGTGTCATTCCACTTTCCACCTGCTGCTATATATCAACAATTACTGCTTTACTCTTAGCGGGTGGAACTACTTTCTTAGGCAGAAGCTTCCAATACTGAAAATACATGTTTGAAACAATGTTCAGAGCTTCTTTGCTTTACTTTTCTCTTTGCAAAATTGCCAAAAAAAGAACATAAAACATGGTAAATAACGATAAACATCATGGCCGTGATGATCTACTGTGACCAAATCACAGCGCGATGTTATTCGGTCATGTCTGGGTATTATTAAGAGCAGAAAGTGCTCTGTCACATTAGGGCTTTGAGAAACATCGCTGTCCTTACCATCAAAACCATTTCAGAGAAACAAGCGAGGACAAACTGGACCAGTGACATCACTGGTTCTGCATTAAACAGAGCAGTCAGGCTTTGCCTATTTTACAGAAAACAGGCTAAGTAGAGCTCTGCGCTGTTTTGGTTGAGCACGGGCTTGGCAGACATAGGCCCAATCCCATTTCACCCCTCGCCCCTACCACTTAGCCCTTACCCTCCATTTTGCGTGTTCTCACCTAGAGAAGGGTGTCCCATTTTTGTTAAGATAGAGGGGTGGGGTGAAGTGTTAGGGCTACAAGGCCCTCCAAACGGAGGTTTTTAATAGATACACTCCAAACAGTATTATGAGAAAAAAAGAAAAGTCGGCAAGACGGCTGAACAAGCAACCAAAGAAACCACAAATGTGAGAATTTTCACTGTTAAAAAATAACGATAACCATCGTATTATTATAGTTAATGTCGTTTTAGTGTGTTATGCTCCTTTTCTTCTTTTCTTCCACCTTAAATGGGTCAGCAGTTACATTCTGAGCGGAACGGGAAAATTCAAACAAGAATCTGGTGAATATCTGACTTCAGCTTCATATCACTGAAGAATTAGGGGTGGGTGATAACAAATAATTGCCCCCTCTTTGAAGGCATATGATTCCCTAAATGTAACTAAAGCCCAGCAGTGAGGAGCTGAACTTTACCCTCCTCTGCTGTCACTGCAGACTGGCAGGGTCGCCTACAGAGCAGCGCCAGTAGCTGTTAATGAAGTGATGCTCTTTTTATTTGAGGGTCCCATTTCAGAGGGAAGATTTCAACCACTGCCCCTTCTAACTCAGTTCCCAGGGGCAAGATGACACTCGAAAACAAGGGGTAAAAATAAGAATCAGGATTGGGTCATAAACGCCCCCACAAAACAAAGGAACTCTGGGAGACAGGAATAATAAATTATAGCGCCTATAATAAAACAGTTCATCATCTCTGCAGCTATAACTTTAAAAATGTCATGATTTTCTTACTGTTCGTTTGGTGGATTAGACACTGGGGTTAACTGCAGCTATTACTGACACCATTCTGAACAGTTTTCAGCACAAATCTTACCTGAAGATCAGTGAGGACATTGCTGGTCTCTCTCACTCTGGCCCTGGTGGCATCCAGCTCAATCAGCAGCTTCTCCTGGTTGTCTTTCAGACGGGAGATGTGGGTCTCTGCAGATTCCAAACTGTCCTCACCTTCCTTCACCAGTTCATTCAGATGAGACACCTCAGAGGAAGAAATATAAAAGGACATATCTGAGAGACACACAGAGATGACACGCATCTGAATATTAATCAGAGACCTGCAGAGGTTGCTGGATTGGATATTGGAGGAAAAAAGAACTAATGATGCAAAAACTCATAAAATAATGTTTAAAACTGTCTTATCAATCTGAACATGACGCTTTTAGATGACTGTATATAACACAGGACAGTAACACATTTTACTGTTTGATCTTATATACTATACTATTTCTATACTATAGATACTATATACTATATATTTCTATAACTATACACTATACTATTTCATTATCTTATTTTTTTTTGCTATATAAACAGCATTTATGGTTATTAGTTTTATATATATATATATATATATATATATATATATATATATATATATATATATATATACACATACATATACATATACATAAAAGAAACGGCCCAAAATGACTTGGGAAAAAATTATGGTTCCATTGACTTACATTAAAAGTAAAGTATGTTTTTTCCTTCTCCTGTAAAGTGGAAATACAAGGTTTTGTTCCAACTATATATATACATATATATATATATATATATCATATACATATATATATATATATATATATATATATATATATATATATATATGTGTGTGTGTGTGTGTATATGTACATATATATATGTACATACATACATATATATATATATATATATATACTTTTAATTACAATTAATCACAGAAAATTAATTCATCACAGAAAACATGTACACAGCCTTTTCTGTAGGTTTAAACAAACATTTCAGTAAAGCAAAATATAATAATATACACAATACTATATGTATGACTATTTGTGTATTGTGTATGACATATGCATTTATGTTTACTTGCATCTCTTCTAATGATATATGGTGTTTTTACTTGCTCACTGCCAAGAAAAATGGTTTTGACCAATGTGTTCAAATGTGTAAGACTTCTGCACATTACTGTATATTTTAGAAGATGTGCTCATTTGTAAAGTATTACAGTATTGCAGTGTCTCTCTCTCTGTCTCTCTCTCTCTCTCTCTCTCTCGCTACCTCTTGGTTGGCTATATTGAGTTTGGCAGTGAGCTCCTCGCGGAGGGTGTCCAGTTGCTGCTGTAGGTGGTTCCTCTGCTCCTCCAGTGAAAGGCGCCGAATCTCATACTGCTGCCTCATCTCCTGCACACACGGAACCAACAGGGCAGCGTAAGAACTTAATTATACCCAACATCCCACAGCGACAAGATCCTGACTGACAGATGAACCCATTTCTCATAATTCCTGTGAGTGAGATCCCACTGTGCTCAGAAATATTTTCAGAAAACAGAAGCGTGGGCAGGATTCAGAGCAGGCTGATTCACCAGCACTTCACAACGATGATGAATGCAATGTCAATACCCGACAACATAAGTCATGCCCTCTATTCAATCAATTACACCAAACACTGAATACATACATAATAATGTCATTAAAGGGCCCATATCCTGGATTTTTATTGTATTTATTTTCCCCTGAGGTCCCCTTTAATACATTGGGGTCATAATTAATTTGTACATGGCCATGTCCCAGCTTCTTTTAATCCCTTAAAATTAAACAGGCTGCTTTTCAGACTTACACAGTCGTATGCAAAAGTCTGCACACCCCCAGCCAAATTACATGTTTTGTTAAATTTTCAGGGAGAAGGTAAGTGAAAACATCCTCTACAGAGAACATGCTTCTGCACATTTCAATGCACAGTTACTACACAGTTTATTGCTGAATTTAACATGTTGGAGAAAAAATAAAACATAAAATGTGGGCTGTGCAGAAATCATCGCACATTTTATGTTTTATTTTTGAAACAAAGCAAATAAATAGAAACTGTGCAGTAAAATTGACTGACAAATGTAACATTTAAGTTTGTTCCCTGTTTTTTTCACTTAGAAAATTTAACAAAACATGTACAACCCCAATTCCAAAAACGTTGGGACGCTGTGTAAAATGTTAATGAATGTGAATAAAAACAGAATGCAATGATTTGCAAATATCATAGAGCCATATTTTATTCACAATAGAACATAGATCACATATCAGATGCTGAAAGAGAGACATTTTACCGTTGCATGATAAATATGATCTCTTTTATCTCTTAATTAGATGAACAGCGTGCAGACTTTCGCACACAACGCTATATGTAAACGATCTCTGTTCTAATTGGCTGCCCTGTTTTGAGCCTCATTCAAAAAACAGTCCAGACCGAATCACTCTTCATAACATTAGTGTGAATGGGTGGAGCTAAACTGCCATAGGCTGAATAGATTCACTTCACAAAAACTCAAAACCGGCTACTTTTGCAGCGTAGTTTCCATAAAAGGACTGCATGGAGTGGGGAGTGAATGGTACGTTTTAAGCGCCACCCGACCCTGCAGAGAATAACTCTACTGTGCTGTGTGTAAATATGAGCACTTGCGTTCAGTAGCTGGTTCTTCTCTCTCTCGGCGGTGGTCCGCGCGCTCTCCAGCTGCGCTCTGTGCTTCTCCATCAGCTCCTCCAGAGCCTGGGCCTGGCCTTCTTTCACACGGGCAGCCTCCTCCTCGTATTTGGCCCGGGCCTGAGCCAGCTCCAGCTCATAGCTCTGCTTCTCCTCGCGCAGGGACTGCCAACAGAGCACAGCTGGGCTCACACCGCAGGCAAGACTTTTACTGGCAGATGTGACAAACTGTGACAACCATGACACCCATGAAAACTGATCTTTATGAGTATCGGCCAAGGAAGGTGCTCACCCAAAACGATCTTACAATTACAGACTTTTTCCATATAAACACGGCAATGTACTGAAAATATTTAATGGAATATTTAAAATATATACAATTTATTACATACAACAATACAGATTCAACACCCCTAGCTAAAGTACACATTTTGTTGATTTTCTAAGTGAAAATTATCTTTTCAGGAAAATTAACAGCACAACTTTTGTTTATTTGTCGAGTTTAACATGTTGAACAAATAAAACATAAAACATAAAATGTGCAATAACTTTTGCTCAGGCCACATTTTTTTGTTCTCTGTAGAGGACGAGTTAACTTATTTTCACTTAGAAAATCAACGAAACATGTTGACCAGGCTTACAATACATTACTGCTGTCATATCAAAACCTCACAACTCTTTATTTGTTTACACTGTTTGAAAATGCCAGCTGCCCTTTACATTGTGTGGACACTTCAGAATGAATGGAGCAACAAAAAAAATGTAGGGCTCTGTGAATTCTGAGACGCATGAAACTGAATTTAGGCATAAAGAAGGAAATGTGCAGTTTTATTTAGAGATTTGGGGGAGATTTCAGATCTTTGCCTTCTCCCAAGTGTAACTGGCTGAAAAAGTGCGTTCATGAGATCCTGCTGGTGTGGGTTCGTACTGCTTTTCTCTACTTCTGAGAGGCACACAAAACCATTCGAGTGCTAACAGCACCCCCATGTGGAGAATCTTTAGGCTGCGACATAAGAATGAGTGTCAGTCCTAAAGGAATTTTATGGAGCCCTGCTGGTGACATATAAATAAAAATAATGCATGGCCACAACTTAGTAAGATGTGTGAACGAGATAAATTTGTGGTTACGACTTAGTAAGGCATGGGAACGAGATCATGCCTTATTAAGTCATGGCCATGCCTTAGGATCTCATTTCCATGCCTTACTAAGTCGTGACCACGCCTTAGGATCTCGTTCCCACCCCTTATCAAGTCATGGCCACGCATTAGGATCTTGTTCCCACATGTTAACACAGTGTGGCCGTGCATTATTTTTATTTACACAGGATGTCACCAGCAAGGCTCCGTAGAATTCATTCATCACTGCATGTTATTTCATTAAAATATAAAAGTATATATTTGAGTTAATATAGTATTTTTGTTCTTACTTTCTTACAGATAAATGAGTAAACATCTAAAAAAGCATCCTAATTAAAGAAGTAATTGTTTGTTAAGTTCGATAAAATGAAAAAATACAATTTTACACGATAAACAGATTTCATGGGGCACTAGAAATGGTCAAAAATTACTTTTCATAACGTTAAAATTAATAATTTTTTTTGCTTATTAAATAAAGTTGCCATTTTGGAGATAAAAAGATTTGCGACAACATATAAATTTGCTTGTAAAGTGACAGTAAAACAGTAACAAAGCCACATACTTTCTCCAGGTTGAGGATCTGCTGGCGCTGCTGCTCCTCCAGTGCCTGACTCTGGCTCTGCAGCCGCTCCTTCTCCTCCTCCAGCTGGACGATCTTCTCCTTCAGCCGACTCTGCTCCAGGTGCAGGTCTCTGATAGTGGCCTCGTGGCTCATCTGAGTGGCCTGCAGGGACCCAATGTGACCTGGGAGACAGATATCGAAGGAAATCCATCAAAACCATAACAAAAAGGCTCTGTTGGACATTTTAATGACATTAAATCCCTGATTTCCTATCAGCCATAACAGGGAGTTGATGATAATCAAGCGACAATTAAAAGGTAGAAATGAAGGAGTAGTAATTGGGCCATCCATCTTCTCTCCTACGAGATAGAGCGGTTCAGTGTGCGTGTGGGGATGTAATTGCGTCCCGAGGCGATTCATTTACTGGCTTTGTGGAGGATTTCGGTGGCCTGCTGCTGTACTCGATCCCTGCTCCCCTCCAACTCGTACTCGGTATCTTTCAGCTGCATCACCCAAATCTCTCCGTCCTGTATGGCCTCCTCCAGCTGCTTGTGTAACTCCTGTTGGGAAAAAGCAATTTTAATATCTCTCTGCTTCTGCGGACTAGAGATTACACTCCGCTGCCAGGGTTTTAGATACGTTCAACCTTTACTAAAGACTGTGATACAAACATATTTAAGATTTTAAGCTCTCTCTAACCTTCTATTTTAACGTTTAAAGCAATGGTTCAGCTAGAAATCTGTTTTCTCCCTACAGCAAACGTAGCTGCCAAGACTTGTTTGGTGTCTGAATTTGCTTCTTTAATTCTGCAATAGAGGCTAGTAAAGCTAACAAGTAATGAAAACTTACACTCCAACAATTAGCATGGTGCAAAGTGCACACTTAAACCACATAAACCTAACCCTAATCTGATTATGTGGTTTCTGACAATGTATGACAGTTATCCTGTGTGCGAAATGCCCCCTGGTATTTGGGGGGGTCCCATGTTGGCTGCTAACTCACTCACCATAGCGGTGCTGATGCTTCAATTGCATCAAAATGTTTGGTTTAACAATTTGGAAATGCTCTTTCCCAGTTTGGTAACGCAGTTGTCCACACATTGATTGAGATCTTACACATCTTCTCTTCTGTCTTCAGTTTGAGAAATGAGGAACAGTCACTCTTGCTGCGGCATATTGTACAGTTTTCAGGGTTATCCTGGGAATATAGTACGTTTACATGCTCTTAATAATCCGATATCGGCAGAAAATCAGATTTTTGTCAGTATTTTGATCAACACATTTACATGCACTTAAATAATCAGATAAAGGGAAAACTCCTGGCCTATATGAGTCAGACAGTAATCGGATTTCTGCTTTAGCAGCCAGCCAATAAACTCACAGAAAAAGACGTGACGTAAACATAATGTAAAACTCAAACTTTCTAGCCGCAATTTTTTTTTAAATCATCATGCCGCTTTACCTGAAAATATGAACATACATCATCTAGAAGACAAAGAATATTTAAATCCATAATTTCGTCAAGCATATAGTTTGTTTCAGTGTCGCTCCAAAAGTGTTTTGCTATGTCTTGCGGTGACGCTGCCCGCTTATTTCTGGTACCGCCGTCTGTTTTCACACATGCGCAGACTGAGAAATCCGAAAGAAATCAGAGTACGAGTTTACATGCACTGAGAAATCTGAATACTGAGCTAAAATCCAGCTCTCTTTATCAGATTTCTTTATCAGATTTCTAGACCTCACTCCGATCTAGAAATCGGAGTATGGTGTTTATATGACCATTTGAATAATCGGATAACTGCAGAAATCTGATTATGGTCGGATTATTGAGTGCACGTAACCACACTCACTTTCACAGTAGCTAGGCTATGAAGGACCAACTGGGTAAACCAATTTACTACAGCGCCACCCTGAGGCAGAGCAGTGCTGCACCTCTAGTTGGAAAAGAATATCAAAGACAGAAGCTCGCCGATTCGTGGATGAAGCAGGCTGAACAATGACCTTCCCCTGAACTTGTATTTGAGCCTCTATTTTACCCCTAACGAAGAGCATAATATTGTTTTCAGGAACCCCCAGAATTTAGATTTTGAGACATTCAGGGGGTCCAAGAGGTTAATTGGAAGTCCTGGACCCCCGGGCCACCTTTACTTCGAACCTTGCTGGTATCTATAAACATGGACTAAAGTATGTTGCATAGCCAGTAATAAATACAGCAGGGCTGCCCAAAGTTGGCTCATGAGGATGTTGGATTTGGCCTGACAGAAAGTTACTCTAACTCATCCCCCATACTCAACAAGAGAACATGGATATTTTATTCAGGCTGTCAAATGATTAAAATCAGCCAATCAAACCTTAATTAACCAATAATTAATAATTCATTTGTATTATTTGCTTAAATGTGATGCTAACGAAAGATTCAGTTTCAATTAAAAAGGCATACATTTTGTAACAGCTGTACGAGTGGACAAAATAATCCTCATCCAAACATATTTTTTACGTTCCATAATTTCAACAGCACTATTTTCATCGAGTGAACACAAAAACTAAGCATGAAAATCACAATAATATAATGAATTCATTTGTACTATTTGCTTAAATTTGACCCTAAAGAAAGACTCTGTTCTATGGATTTTGTTATAGCTGTACAAGTGGACAAAATAAGCTTTGTCTAAATTTATTTATTACTTTCAATAACTTCAATAACACTGTTTTAATCATGTGAACACAAAACCTAAACATGAAACTCATGTGAATGAGTGAACGGCTCATGTGAACGGTGTCTGCACGTTCCAAGCATTGAGTGTTTATGGATCATTCTGCCAAACGTCAATTTTGGACTTTTAGACTACAATTTACTTTAAGTGACCCTAAATCTTAATTATGTTTATTTTAAATATAAATAAATGATTGAACATTCAATTTTGTCATTACCAAAACAGTCATAACCCTTCTGAAACTCTACCAAATGGTTCAGTAGTGACTGTTTTGGTAGTGACAATTTTAGCTCATTTTGAGCAGCTTTACACATAAAATCATCATATTTTTCACTAAAATCTGTGTTTCGGTGGTGATAATTTTAATGTTCCACACTGATTTTCAGACTTTGGGACACATTTACCTCAAAACAATAAGATCTAACCGCTCACCATGTGGCCATGAGGGACAGGGATGCGGTCTCACTTTGCGCTCTAAAATGCAGGGGTGTGGCTAAAATAAGGCTCCGCCTACAGACTAAAACTCTGTATTTTGGTAGTGACATGAAAACATGGGACAGCATAAATAAATAAATAAATAAATAAATAAATAAAACTTATATTTAAAGATTAATCTCTGAGGTCCAAATAGGGATTTTATCAGGAGAGCTAACAATGGAACATGCCATTTAAAAGCTGTACTTAAATGAGAGTCACGGAGTCACAGTAATGTACAGGGTGGAACTACGGACGGTTTGAAGGGTCAAACTAGGAAAATGTATTAACAGTGTTAAAAATGATTAGTGATGTTAATAATTTATCATGTGTTATTAGCTTGTTGGGCGGCACTGTGGCACAGTGGGTAGCGCTGTCGCCTCACAGCAAGAATGGCCTGGGTTCGATTCACAGCTGGGCGACCAGGGTCATTTCTGTGTGGATTTTGCCTGTTCTCCCCGTGTCTGTGTGGGTTTCCTCCGGGTACTCCGGTTTCCTCCCACAGTCCAAAGACATGCAGTCAGGCTGATTGGACAAGCTGAATTGCCCCTAGGTGTGAGTGTGTGTGTGATTGTGTGTGTATGTCTGTCTGCCCTGCGATGGACTGGCGACCTGTCCAGGGTGTATCCTGCCTTCCGCCCAATGACAGCTGGGATAGGCTCCAGCACCCCACCGCAACCCAGAAGGATAAGCGGTCTAGATGATGTATGTATGTATTAACTTGTTGACTTGGTCACGTGGTCTGAGTGATGTGGACCAAAAATCATTTTCTTGGTTTTCTCTTTACAAACCAGATGTTCTAACAACCCATCGAGCGGCCCTACTGAGCATACACACATCACTACTATAGCGTAGCAAACACAACATGACAGCGTTCCCTGGATGCATATTCAGTAGCAAAGTGAATAAGGACCTTTTTAAGGTGTCTCCATACTAAAGATAATGGTGTTATTGAGCGGACACAGCGGAGTCCACAACACCACCTGAGCCCGTTTTACTCATTTCTTCCTGCATCACTTGCACTGCCGTGTTTAGTTCTGCTTCAGTGGTGCGACAGGCAGGGAGCTCATCAGAATATTAGGCCACTTCCAGACAGGTCTGAGACACGTCTGATCAGCGATTTTCAGTGTTTTTATTTTACTTCTTTCTTATTTATTTAATTCAAACTTTGCTAGATGTTTAATATAACACTCAGGTTAAATACTCATAATACAGAAAACCATATTTTTCTTCCTTTTTTTAAATTAACGAGTAAAAAGTCATAAGTAAACAATGTTAAAGTCTCAAAATATTCCATTCACTACCCACTCCACACAGTCCATATATGGAAACTAATCTGCGAAAACAGCCCATTTTGAATCGACTGCTTCTGTGACGTCATGAGAACCAACTCATTTACATATACCCGCCTGTTCAGCCTTAGCTCCACCCATTTGAACCATTTGAACCGGAGCATTTCTGTTCAAATTGTTTCTTGAAAGAAGCAGAATACAAAGCGGCCAATCAGTACCGAGCTCATTCATTTTATATCGATCTTAAAAGCACAGTAGCAACAACTGCCTGCTTAGTTCTAAGGGATGAAGTGAGGTTGGAAAATGGTCATTTGAAAATTAATTCTGTACAGACAATCACATAAATATTAGAAGTGGACATAAAGGGAAAAAATGTACGATAATATATGGACCCTTCAACCCTTGTGTGGTGTTGGGGTCTGTGGTTCCCATTTTCAATGTTTAGCAAAAGAAAAAATGATGCGATTTATTATTATTTAAACCTCAGATTCTTGGCCTTTGCTCATTTTCTTTGAAGAACATATAAAATAACCCACTTTCAGTGTCTTCACTCTGTTCACCTCCCACACATTCATATTACACATGTGGTGCTGGGTGAACCTGTGGGGAATAAAAGTGTGGAGGTGCTGTGTCCTTCACTCTGTCCTCCTCCTACATGGCCTGCTGTTAGTGTGTGTGTGTGTGTTTGTATATGTGTGTGTGTGAGGGTGGACAACATAAACAGGCTCCTGACTGGCTACAGCTGCTAAAGGAGAACCCTACGCTGGACACTTGTGATATTTTAAACATCTGGTATTTTTTCATTAATTGTTATGGCTGTATGATTTAAAAGACCAATAATGCGGTGGGTCAACCAGACCACTGAGTAACAAACACATCAACACCACATAAGGGTTAAGTATCAAACAAGACACAAAGGCCCTTTTCCACCTTTTTTGTGTATTTTTTCCACTGAGGTCCACTTGTAACATTTAAATGGAAATAAAGGGAGCATCACCTTGATTGTGACTTCGGCGTTGTTGAGTGACGCCTGCAGCCTGTTGGTTTTGTCTCTGCTTTCTCTCGCCTCCTCCTGCGCTCTCTGCAGCTCAGACCGGAGCTTGCAGAGCGTTCTCTGCAGGGCAGCCTCCTGGACCTGGAACTCCTTCCTCAGCTCCACCTCCGTCCTCTTCCAGGCCAGCAGGTTCTCGGTGGTGAGCTGCTGAGCGCGCCTCATGGCCTCCAGCTCGCGCTCGTAGAATGCCTGGGCCTTGCCCAGCTTGGCCTCGTACTCCTCCACCAGTCGCACTTTGTCCTGCGTGAGCTCCTCCACGCGCTCCATTAGCGCCTCCAGCTCGGCTCGGTGCAGCTCTGCCAGCTTCTCCTGGTCCAGGCAGCTGGAGGCGCTCTGGCTCTGCTGCGTCTCCAGCAGCTCCTGCAGCTCCTGCCGGTGGACGGACTTCAGCTCCTCCAGCGCACGGTGCTTCTCCTGATCAAACTGCGCCTGTACCTGTTTACAGAGCAAATCAGCAGAGGCTGTAAATCTCCGTTTGACTTGTGCTATTTTGCATTTTTATTTTTATTGCTATTCCCATTTACTTTCTCCTTATACAGTCATAAAAATCCAAAGAGTAGTAAAACTGCTCACATAGATCCAAATTTCTGTTGTTGTCCAGCCAAATGTCCCATAATACTGGGCTGTACAAAAGTTGTCTAAAACTACACAATAAAAATTATTTGGGAAATGGACACTCCCTCGAATTATTGAGCTCAGGTGTTTCAGCCACACCCACTGCTGACAGGTGTATATAAGTCAAGCACATAGCCACACAGTCTCCATAGACAAACGCTGGCAGTACACACTTAAAAAAGATGGTTCTTCAAGGTTTCTTTAGTAAGGAAAAATGCTTCCATATACAACCATGAACATTCAAAAACCCTCTGCATGATTAAAGTGTTCTTTGCATCTTGAAAGGGTTCTTTAGATTGATGGAGATTGTGCTCCATCAACCATTTCACTCAATGCACAGAACCCTTTAATAATGCAAAGCTTTTTTGAGTGTTCACGGTTCTACACAGAACCTTTTTGAAAAGGGTTCTCCTATTGCTACAAGCTTGACATCATAACAATAGAAGAACCCTTTTCGGTGCTATATAGAATCCATTTCAAAATGGTTCTATATGGAACTACCTACAACACGTTCTGCATCAATATGAAGAACTATTTCACTCAATGCACAGAACCCTTTAATGATGCAAAGCTTTTTTGAGTGTTCACAGTTCTACACAGAACCTTTTTGAAAAGGGTTCTTGTATTGTTCCAGGCTTGACATCATAACAATGGAAGAACCCTTTTCGGTGCTATATAGAACCATTTTCAAAAAGGTTCTATATAGAACCATCTACAGCACATTCTCTCTACTCTCTGTTGCATCATTCACTGCAGAGTCCAAAACTGCCTCTGGAAGCTTCACTAAATGGGCTTCAACTGCATACAAGTCTAACATCACTATGCGCAGTGCCAAGCGTTGGCTGCAGTGGTGTAAAGGACGCCGCCACTGGACTCAGTGCAGTGGAAACATGTTCTCTGGTATACGTGATATTCAACAAGCTCAAACAGGCATGACGGTCAGGTGTCCACATACTTTTGGCCATATAATGTATTTGGGCAGTAAGTGTGTGTTGGCCTGTAACTTAGAATAAATGCAAATAAACATAAATACAATAAAGCATAACAGGGTTTTTTTGTTATTAATAAGGTTATTAATGTGTAGAAGAACACAGGTTTGGATCCTGACTCTTGCTGCTCTCCAGCCATCGCATGGCTTTGTTCAATTCCATCAACAGCACCTAATTTGAACTTGATGGGAACTGTAAACACTGGACTTCCTTGAGGAGAGCTTCGGAAATGGTTAAGATAAGGCACTCACACACAGATCAACCACAACGTTCTATTTATTCTCACGTTAGTGTTTCATAAATAAATGTTTTTTAGTCAGATGAATTAATAAGCTTAATATAGCATTTTCTCAGATCTAAGATCTACGAGTTTTGCACACTTCTGTTCATCAGCCAGTTCCAAAACTATTACCTTCAGATTTGACCTCATATATATTAAACGTAAACACTGAAAACATATTTGTGGGAACTTCAAAAGCTTTGATATTGCATGGACCGCAATTTTTACACTGTTTTTTTTCTTTAAAATGGAGCACAGGAAATAACTTTTGCCACAGGAGGTCATCAGATATCCCATTTCGGTCAATCAATTTCGACCGAAACAGCAATATACTGCATTTGTTTACTCACTACAAGAGACGTGATACCAGGTAAACATTGTTAAAATCCCCAGTCATAACATTCACTGCAGTCCACCTCAGAAAGCTAAGCTCCAAAAACAGCCTGTTTTGAATTCACTGTTTATGTGTATTTACAAACGTCCACCAATTCAGCCTACAGCAGTTTAGCTCCGCCCCTTTCACGCTGACGTGAAGGATTGTTTCAGTCCTGACTCCTTCTTTTACTTAATGAGGCACAATGCAGGACAGCCAATCAGCACAGAGCTCATTCACATATCACTCTTGGGTAAAGAGAGGTTTGTGTATTTTTGGTACACAAAACCACACAAAATGTTCAGTAAAAAAAATTATTCAAGGACAATATAAGATACAGTTGTGTGCAAAGGTTTGGGGGCGCCAGTCAAATTATATGTTCTGTTAATTCTCTTATTTTTTTTATATCTTCTACAAAAATGATATTTTTGGGCAAATTTTAGTGCAAAGTTCTGATGTATTTGCTGAGTTTAACATTGAAAAAAAAAATACAAACATATAAAATGTGCCTCATCTTTTGCACAGGCCACATTGTATGTTTTATTTTTTCTCTAATATGTTAAATTCAGTAAATAAACAGTAATTGTGTATTAAGATGAGCAGATGTGTGTTCTCTGTAGAGGATGCGTTTATTTATTTACACTTAGAAAATCAACAAGATGTGTCATTTGGCCAGGGGTGCACAAACTTTCGCATATGCCTGTATCCCATACAGTGAAAAGAAGAAAACGTCGACTCAAGGTTTTCGTGTTATTACTGGAAAGGAAAAGTAGTTTCATGCCATCTGCACTTGTTACTATATTTGTCTGGGAGCGAGTTTCTGACAGATTTCTTGCGAGTGACGACTTTCTCGGCCAATAAAACTCAGTCTGGTGCTGACTGTGTACCTGGCTGAAGGAGCGCAGCTTCTCCTCGAAGTCGTGCCTCATCTCCTCCACCTCTCGGGACATGGACACCACGCGCTGGGTGTGTTGCGCTTCCGCGCACAGCTGCGTGTCCTCCATGCGCTGGCGGTACATCTCGAACTCGGCCAGCGCCTGACGCTTCATGTGCTCGTGGAGCTCCACGGATTCCTCCAGAGACTGCAGCCTCCGCTTCAGCTCCGCCTCATCGCCCATCTTACTCTTATACTGCAGGATCTTCTCCCGCGTCTCCGTCAGGATGTGCTGGACCTCGTCCTCGTGCGCCTCCTTCAGAGACTGGATGGCCTCCTCGTGCTCGTCGTTCTTGGTGTTGAGGGCATAAATGACCTATATGGATTCAGCGGAGATGGAAGAGCCGTCACTTCAGGGGTTTTACACCACTGCATTGAAAATAATAAACAAAGCTTAACCCTTAGAAGTCAACAGCAATTACTGCTGTGCGCTACAATGGCATTATGTGATTCATTTATAGTTGCATAATTAAATATATTTTACATTCAACTTCCAGTCTGGATGGACAGATTTGCATCTGGACACAAAAAAAACACAAAAATATAGCAAAAATGTATAGAATGCAATACAAGACTCTATGTACAACAATAGCTTTCCCTCAAATTAAACTCATAACAAAATATCTCCTCTTCTACTCACATACATCAATGTGGTATGAATGGAATCTGCACTTTCCACACGATCTAGCTACTTGTTTCAGTGAACTATGAGTCAGAAATAACTCATATAAAATTACAGCATACTTTTGTGATCACAGGCAAATACAGTGACTTCTATGGGTTATTTTAACTATGCCACATATAATTCAAACCAATACAGTACAGTCAGCAGATGTGGACGTAATGTTCCCTCAACATTTAATATAACTGCAATTAATATGAACATATTTTCAGTTTGTGAGACAAACTCTTCCAGTTTTGAGTGTACAGAGTATGAGCCCTCTGCTTGTAGCAATATTAACAATAATATCAACTTTTTCTAAAGTATAAACCTTAAAATCTCAGGTTTATTACATACCACGAATTATTAAAAGAGACTCTGGCCTGTTAAGGGGTTAAGGGGCTCTAAAAGTCTGTATGTGGGTCAACACTTGAATTCCTCAGTGTCATAACTACAGAACTTACCCAGTAGTTTCACATTAGATACTGAATAACTTACAGTAATTAGTGGGTAATTTGTAGTAAAGGAGAAAAATGTGGGGTAAAATGTAACATACATTTTAAATAGTTCAACAGGTTCAAGTAGAATGTGCTTTTAGTCATGTTCTCATAATCTCAGAGCAAAGTCTGTAAATTTTGACAGCAATTAGACAGATATTTCTCCAGATTCACCCTGTTGATGTTTTTAATAAGTGAGCTGTGGGTATAAGTTATTGATGGTCATTGAGGATCTCCCTCCTTTCACTGCATGTAGACAGCTGACAGTGAGAGCTAGCCAGGCTAAAGTGCAGCCTCCACATGGGGGGGTTAGTTTAACACCATGTAACTCAGCCTACCACAGTAAACAATCAGAGAACGCCCCCTCCCCCATACACACTCAACACAGTTCATTTTTTGGAAGTTTTTATCCATCGATTCATTTAAAACTTGCTCTAAATTTCTTTTAAATAAAATATATTTCAGTTTATCATGCTAATATTTGCTGTTCTTCTTTTCTCTTTTCACTAATCATGCAGATATTTTATGTGTTTAAGTTGGAAAGCTTCACTGGTTCAAACAACAAAGAAGTTTACTGAATTAACTGTGTTTTGCATAAATTTACCAGACTTTTTACAAAAGAAAAAGCAACATAGTTTGTGTTTTTATTTGTAGCAGAAATGTGTAGGTTGCTTGTATAAAGATAATACATCTTTCCCAAACACTTTTTAAATTATTAAAGAAATTAAATGTGTTCTATCCTAGTTTTTAATAATTTATTCGTAATTTATTGAGTTTTAAATATGTGGCTGAAGTGGTTTGAATAACAATGATCTACATCCTGCACTGAAAATGTGAAAAACATCACATCAGCAAAAAATATTGCCAAAATTAAGCAAACTGAAAGACAGCAATTGCGTTAATGTGATTTGTTTTATTATACATTTTAACATGTCTACATATGAATCAAGTAAATTCGACGCATTCCTTTTCTACTCTGCGTTATCTCTGAGAAAGTTTGCTGCATTTTCCACCAAAAACTGTGCCCATTCATTTCACAGATACCTCAGTTCTTCCCTACTGTCTTCAGGGCTGCTTCGACTCGCTGCTGTGTCAATTATTCTCCTTTTCATCTTTAATTCATCCCACACTCTGTCTCATCTCGTGCAATTAGCATACTGTAAGCCATTCTATTTGACTCATTGTGCCTTCAATTTATGCCAATTCATGTTTATCACAACGTTCTCTCGCCAGTCCAAATAAAAACTCTCATCGGTGAATCTTTTCAGCATTGTGCAAATGAGCTCATTATCAGCGCTGGGACGGATCAGTTTAGGTCTGAGTTATGTAAGCAGATTATGCAGAGAGTGTATGAAGTATGTGATGAAGCTCGGACCGTAACAGAAAACAGCAAGTTTAGACGGGGCATGTTCTGCTGCCTGGAGGCAGGAAAGAGATTAATGGAACATACAGGAGGGGATCACTTACGATCAGAAGGGGCGCAAAGCATGATCACATGCGAGATGAGGATGGTTTTAGTGGATGAATTGCCAGTGGATAAATTATTCTGCTGTAATTATGCGGTCAGGATACAAAATGAAAATATAGGGCATCACTTGCACAAGTGGGACGGGGGGATTAAGATTAAGATTAAGGCCATTAGAGCTGGGCAATATGACAATATTTATCGTTATCATGATAAATTACATCACAGTATGTCACAATATGCTTTTCTGAGTATATATTCTGGATATCGTCAGGACTTAAAAATACTTCCCACCTGCACATTTGATTACAAAGATTGCATAATTAGTCTGGTTTAACTGGATTTAGTGCAGTACAACATGTGAAATGTTGAATACAAATCATGTTTTAAATATGGCACTACTATGTCTATCTTAGCAAATTAGTTTATATATATATATATATATATATATATATATATATATATATATATATATATATATGTCAGAACAAAACATTGTATCTCCATTTGAAAATGCCTGTTGTCCTTTACATTGTGTGTAAATTTCATGACGTATGGACCTAAAGAATTGACCCAAAATGACTTGGAAAAAAAGTCTGCTTTATGCTTTATATATATATATATATATATATATATATATATGCATATATATATAGATAGATAGATAGATAGATAGATAGATACACACACACATATATAGCAGTAGCCTGCAAAATTCTCAAATCTGCATGGCCTTAATCTATATATATATATATATATGTTTACATATACAGATTTCTATATGTATGTATGTATACATAAGAACGTCTTTGTGAGCACTAACCTTTGTTAGCTGTGCTATTTTCTTACTCATCTTCAGGTGCAGGTCCTGCGTGTACTCCATGGTCAGTCCGGATTCATACAGCAGATGGCTGGCCGTTGATGAGGACGGACTGGTGGCTGCTCCGGGAGCGTTAGGAGCAGCAGGAGAAGCCGTAGATGAATTGCTAGGTCCCTGCCACCCTGCTCCCGTCGCCATCTTCAAGCAGCTCTCTCTTCACGACTCAAACAACACTAATAATACAGAACAGACCCTTTACTAGCAGCCTCAGCGGCCCATTAGCGCCACGCGCGCGCTACCTGCACCGATACGCCACCGTACACAGCCATGGCGTGCGGTTCGCATGTAAATCGCAGCACGCACCCTACAAACCGCGCACGTGCAGCTCCTAAACGACTGGCAGGTCCACCGCAAAGGCGAGGCGTGCGCGCGCGGAGGCTGCGGAGGGATAACACTGGGCTAACATGCCTGAGAGTGAGAGAGAGAGAGAGAGAGAGAGAGAGAGAGAGAGAGAGATTGAGAGTGAGAGAGTGAGTGAGTGAGTGACTGAGTGTGTGTTGTAAAGCAATGACGTCAATACAAATCAGACTAAACCCCTCCACTCATCAACATGGTGTTCATTGTGATGCATTCTTTTGAAATATGATTTATTATGCATCGACGAGTTTTACATTCACTGAAAAAAGGCTATATACTATACTATAGATACCATAAAGCAATAATAATATATAATAATAATATATAAAATACAACCCATCACAATATCATAACGTATGCATGTGTGTGTGTGTGTATAAAAACAGATATATATATATATATATATATCTGTTTTTATACACACACACACACATGCATACGTTATGATATTGTGATGGGTTGACACACACACACACACACACACATGTGTGTGTGTGTGTGTGTGTGTACGCATATGTATATACACTCATATGCACATATATATATATATATATATATATATACAACTACATATAATAAAAACATGTATTACAGTTACATGTAAAATCTATGTGTAATAATAATGTCCTATATGTGCTGCTTAATTCCAAATGCTGTGTATCCAAAATGCTATTTATTAAGAGGTTCGAAAAGATCATTTACTTCTATAACAAAGGTGGTGTTAATTATAATATGGAACTGATATATTGATAATGCTTGTATGTGTTGTTTATTTCATATAGGTTTCTTTATGTATTTTGCTAGATGTGCATTTTGTTATTGTCTATGATGGGTTATATCTCACATGTACTATGATAAGTATATTTTTTAACTTAAGCTTTTTTTTAGGGTGCCTTCTGACATCTGACCTGGGCAGCAGATGAAAATGAGCCTTTTTGCCTAACTCTGCCTCATTTGCTCTTTTGTTGATACTGTTTATTGATGGGCATTTTCCCTCACAAATAAATTACTAAGTAAACATATAAATATGGCATTTATGGTTTTACATATTAGACAAAAATAAAACATAAAATTTGCCAAATTCAGTAAATGAACAGTAGTTGTGTATTAAAATGTGAAAAAGTGTTCTCTGTACAGGAAGTGTTCACTTATTTACACAAATAGATGTCATTTGACCAGGGGCGCCCAAAGTTTTGCATATGACTGTATATATGTTTAAAACAACTTATTTTTTCCTGTGTGGTTTGTATTGAAAGGAAACCACCTCCATGTATATACACTCACTGTCCATTTTATCAGCTCCACTGACCATAAAAGAGCACTTTGTAGTTCAATTACAGACTGTAATCCATCTATAACTCCAGCAGCGCTGCTGTGCCTCACACAGTAACACACCACCACCACGTCAGAATCACTGCAGTGTTGAGAATGACCCACCAGCCCAATAATACCTGCTCTGTGGGGGTCCTGACTATTGAAGAACAGGGTAACAAAGTATGCAGAGAAACAGATGGACTACAGTCTGTAATTGTACAACTGCAAAGTGCTCTTATATGGTCAGTGGAGCTGGTAAAATGGACAATGAGTGCAGATACATAGAGGTGAGACAAACAACCTGAAAATGACCTTAATATCGCTCATTTTTCAGAAATCATAAAATGATCAGTGGCATTAAATGTAAATTAAATCTGATTCTTGTGTGTTTTTCGTGGTTTATTTCCATCCGTCTTTCAGTCTTTGCACATCATCACAGTGACCACAGGGCCTGAAAGCCGACATTTAAACAGCATGCTGTAGGGTTGTGGACGGCCAGATCAGGCAGATATCTGCACAAATCATGACTTACTGCCTTCTTCTCCTGCTGTTGAAATGGGAATTCCACTGTTATTTCTGCATAATTCAACCGTTGAGATGTAAACAGAGTCATTCAGAGTGGTTTAGTGTGAAATGGTTGATTGTAGAGACTCTGATTTCTTTATAGTGGTGGTGATAGGAACCAGGGGTCACTATGACTACAACACTAATGTAGACATTTTATTTACTATCCAAAAGTTGATGATGGTAAAACACCCTGCAGGTACCTCTCCACCATGAATTGAGTTAAAGTAGAAGTTTTAGGCCAAAAGCTTTTCCTAACTGTCATAAAACAACGAAACCAATGTTCCCATTTCATGTAATAGCTTTCTGTGAGGGAGCTTTTAGAGGTGGAGGTCTGGTTCCTATCACCACCACTGTAAATAACTGTGACTCTAAGTTTCTCTAGAACAGAGCGTTTCACACCAAACCACTCTGAATGACTGTGATGATTTCGTTTTGCAGAAGTTTTGAAACGTCAGTGAAATTCCCTCTCATTCTGTAGATGTGGTTTCAAGTCATACATCCTGGCCTGCTCTCAAAGGAAGACACAATATGCAGAGAACACAGAGAAGTTCATTCTTTAATGATTTTTGCTAAGCCTGATGATGTAAACATGGGCAGTTTTTTGGTCATTAATGCCATCTGCTGGTAGTTCAGTATATTAAAGACCATTTTTTTCTGTTTACTCTTGCACTTTAATAGTCATAATATACACCGATCAGGCATAATATTATGACCAGTAATTAACCTTGTTAGTTACTGAACACAGTTGCAGTTTGTTGCTTATTACTGTATAGACAATATACACTGATAATAACATTATGACCACCTCCATGTTTCTACACTCATTGTCCATTTTATCAGCTCCACTTACTATATAGGTGCACTTTGTAGTTATACAGTTACAGACTGTAGTCCATCTGTTTCTCTGCATACTTTGTTAGCCCCCTTTTACCCTGTTCTTCAGTGGTCAGGACCCCCATGGACCCTCACAGAGCAGGTACTATTTGGGTGGTGGGTCATTCTCAGCACTGCAGTAACACTGACGTGGTGGTGGTGTGTTAGTGTGTGTTGTACTGGTCTGAGTGAATCAGACACAGCAGTGCTGCTGGAGTTTTTAAACACCTCAGTGTCACTGCTGGACTGAGAATAGTCCACCAACCAAAAATATCCAGCTAACAGCGTCCTGTGGGCAGGGTCCTGTGAGCAGCTGATGAAGGACTAGAGGATGACCAACACAAACTGTGCAGCAGCAGATGAGCTATCGTCTCTGACTTTACATCTACAAGGTGGACTGACAAGGTGGAAGTGTTTAATAGAGTGGACAGTGAGTGGACACAGTGTTTAAAAACTCCAGCAGCACTACTATTCAGAATGTATTTGACCCCCTTAGAAGTCATCAGATTCATCTGGATTACAAATGACACACACATTCTTCCAGATAACATTATTATTGGTAACAAATATGCTCTTCAAGTAAATCTTCAAGGTCAAAATTCCTTATTTGTCAACAGATCTTTAAAAAAACTGAAAAATGCTGCTTGTATAAGTGTTCAACCCCTTCAGACTCGTGCTCAGTAGAAGCACCTTTTGCTGCAGTAACAGCTTTAAGTCTGATGTGGTGAGTTTTCCCAGCTTTGCACACTGTGTGGGAGAGATTTTCACACATTCTTCCTGGCAGATTTGCTGCAGGTGGTTCAGGCTGGTTGGATGATTCTTGATTGGATATAGATCTGGACTTTGACATGGCCACTGCAGAACTTTCACCTCTTTGTTGTTCAACCACTCCTGTGTTGCTTTGGCCCCGTGCTTGGGATCACTGTCCTGCTAAAAATGAAGTTGCTCCCACGCTGTAGTTTTTAGCAGACTGAAGCAGGTCGTCTTGCAGTATCTCCCTGTATTTTGCACCATTCATCTGTCCCTTAGTTTTAGCAAGATGCCCAGTACCTGCTGAGAAAAAGCATCCCCATAACAGGATGCTGCCACCACCATGCTTCACTGTTGGGATGGTGTTTGTGAGGAATCTTAGGTTTGAGCCACAGATAATGTTTTGAATTTTGGTCCAAAAGCTCCATTTTTGTCTCATCTGACCACAAAACCTTTCCAACATTTTAGCTGGGTCACTCTGATGCCTTTTGGCAAACTCCAGATGTGCTGTGATGTAGTTTTTCTTTATTAATGGCTTCTTTCTGGCCAGTCTGCTACTCTGGCCAGATGTATGCAGGACTCCTGATATTGTTGAGTGGTGCACCTTCACCCCAGTTTCAGCCACTGAGCTCTCAAAGTGATTATTGGCCTCTCTTTGGCTTCCCTTCTTGCTCTGATGCTGAGTTTTTAGGGAGGCCTTGTCTAGGCTGTGGCTTGGATGGTATGATACCGCTTCCAGTTCCTCACAGTTGATCCAACTGGGATATCCAAAATGATTTATTTTGTGCATATCTATAACTTCTGTACTTGCTTTAGAACACTCTTTGATCTTCATTTTCACAGTTTCCCTTCACATTAACAGTCTGATCAATGGATTAAGGGGGGTCTTTTATCCAGAAAAGGTGAACCTTTGAAATGATTTCATTGACAGAGGCAAATTGTGAGAATTTATGCCCTCGTCACGGCAATATCGTTCATCTGTTTACACTATCGGAGCTTCCACAGCATGGGGGGTTGAATACTTATGCAAATAACATCTTTCAGTTAGTATGTTTTGTCAAAGAATATTTTCTTTGTAAAACCTGTAACTTCAAATTAATTAATGTCTTATTAAAGTCTTATTTCTAATTGTGACAAATCTGATGACTTTTAAGGGGGTTAAATACTTTTGCAAGGCAATGTATCCTCCTATCAGCCTATAGCAGTTTAGCCTCACCCACTCATGCGGAAGTTATAAGGAGTATTTCATCCTGGCCTGCTTTCTGAATGAGGCAAATATAGATCAGCCAGTCAGAACAGAGGAAATTGACACATTTAAAGGCACTGTAACAGCTTGTCCAATTCTAAGGGACAAAATGAGGTTAAACAATTCAAAGTCATGTGAAATGATGGATGTTTTTGGTCAAATAATAGCGAATAAACATCATTAGAGGGTCTGTAAGAAATATATAAATATGGACCATTTAAGCCAGAACTCTACAATTTACACTTAGGTTAGAACTAAACTAATCAGATTAAGCAAGATCTAACAGGATCCCACCTGCAATACCAGAATACTCATCATAGAGGGCGCAACACTTCTGTTTAGATCCCACAAAGGTTCTTATGTGCTCTTAAAGAACATTAGATCAGCACATTGTCAATCATAGGCATAATTCATAACCATAAGTCAAGAATAATTCAGTCAGTGAGATGTAAATAGAGTCATTCAGAGTGTGAAATGGTTGATTGTAGAGACTCAGGTTTCTTCACAGTGGTGGTGATAGGAACCAGGGGTCGCCATGACTACAACACAAACATAGACGTTTTATTTTCTATCCTTCCTTCCTTCCTTCCTGTGTGAAATGAACAAAATGTAAAAAAAAAATGTAAATCTACTACTAATAATAATAATAGTTATAATACACCCCGAACAGAAATTGACATATTATGTTAAACTACAGTACTAGCAAAGTCAGAGATGATCCTTATGTTTAATTCATTTTCAGTCAAAATGATCAAGCCATGAATGATGACAAGCACAAACAAATTTTACTGCATTACGCAATGGCCTCTGAAGAGCGTTTAATCAAGAAGAGCTTATTTCTACAGCAAGATAACGACCCCAAGCACATATCAAACAAAGAAGCTGTTGGTGTTCTCAGAACTATTTACTGACCACCCCAGAGTCCAGACCTCAACATCACTGAATGTGTTTGAATACCTCAGAAAATGATCAACCAGCTTCTAAGACTGAACTTTGGAGGCGTGTCTGCAGATTCTTTGAGGAACTGAAAGTGAGTCTCCTGAAATGACTGGAAACTGGAATAAAGGTACAGAGTGACTCACTCAACACTGAAAACATATGTATGTTTTCTGTTTTTTCTCATTCTGAAAAAATGAATGACATACTTTTGATTGGAAATTAAACAAATGAAAGGGTGGTGACTGTGTACCTCCTCACTCAGTAGGCCTGTGTTAGTTGTTATCTGCTGTTAGTAGTAGACGTTTTGTACTGTAAGCTCATAGGCATCCCATAGGGCTCCTGCTGCATTTACTTAGAGGGCGTGGTGTATAACTTCACCAGAGAGCAAACTATAACTTCACTTTGCCCAGAGGAGGATGGGCTCCCCCTTGGAGTCTTGATTTCTCTCAGTGTTTCTTCCTCATACCATGTCAGGGAGTTTTCCCTGTGTTTCCGTGTGTAAAGCTGCTTTGCGGCAGAGTCCGTTAAAAAAGTGCTATACAAATAAAACTGAATTGTATTGAAACGTAACACAGAGATTATAGCATGTCTAATCTGTACATTGTAAATCCACACCGTTCCTTGTGTTCCTTTTTAAGGGCTTATATTTCCAGCAAGGCCTCCAGGGCCTCATAGTATTTGAGCTGCTTTCCCTGTATGTAAGGAGCACTTGTTTCACTCTAGCTAAATATTTGTGGCATTTTAAACCCAAACCAGTAACTCCACACTGAAAAATGCAGCTTTTGCTCATCTGTAATACCGGGCGTGTAACATATGAAAGTAACTCAGAGATCATATCACCTCTTTCATGTAGTTTTGTAATAAGACTCGCCCCTGACTAATCGCCTCGCTGCCTCCGATTCACAGGAAACCATTTGAGGACGTCAGATACAATCTTATAATCTCACTGCCTCGCCACAAAAGCATCCTGATCTCTTTCTGGTCCTTTCTCCTTCCCTTTTATACATCATTTCAGACTCTCGGCTAGTTGCAAACATGCACCATTAGCATGTTTCAGCACGAAGAAGGTGTGGCATTTAGAAAACATGCCAGAGCTTCAGGGGCTTCACTGAAGCACAAAATATCTGTTCTGATTTCTCACCCGAGAACAAAACAGCTTTAATCCAACATGAACATATCAGTAATGCGTTAGTCCCACCTACTGTACTCTGATTGGCCAATAGTGGCTAGGACTTCTACAGCGCTCTATCATAATCTATAATAATGTCACCAGAGGTGAGCAAAGACTACTTACATTCACTCAGTTACATTTACTTTAAATACAGTTCCACGATTTTTCAAAATTTTTAGCATAATTCAACCGTTGAGATGTAAACAGAGTCATTCAGAGTGATTTGGTGTGAAATGGTTGATTGTAGAGACTCTGATTTCTTTGTAGTGGTGGTGATAGGAACCAGGTGTTGCCATGACTACAACACAAATGTAGACACTTTATTTACTATCCAGAACCACCAGTGAACCTACATGTGAGCTTTTATATGGAATGTTGATGATGGTAAAATAGTGGCAAATCTCAAAGAATTCATTTTTTTTTCTACATTATTTTGCCTCACAACACAGTACATGTACATTTCAACATAAACTGAATAAAAACAAATGGTTTTTGGGTACAAATTGTAGGTCAAAACTTTCGTGAAAAAATGTCTCAGGCTGTGTATTTATAACCATTTCATGTAGTAACTTTCTGTGAGGGAGCTTTTAGAGGTGGACGTCTGGTTCCTATCACCACCACTGTGAACAGTTCTGACTCTGTAAGTTTCTCTAGAACAGAGAGTTTCACACCAAACCACTCTGAATGACTCGGTTTACATCTCAGCCATTTAATTATGACGAGATTTTGAAATATAAGTGGAATTCCCCTTTAATTCTGTTTTGTGTTTTGCGCATTTTACTGCACAGTTTCTATTTATTTACTGAGTTCAGCAAAGTGGACGTTTTGTAACGTTTTATTTATTCCCATCAACTTAAATTCAGCACATAAACAGTAACGGTGCATTAAAACGTGCAGAAGTGTGTTCTGTGTAGAGCATGTCAACTTATTTACAACTTGTCCAGGGGTGCACAAACTTTTGCAGACGACAGTATACTAATCAACAGGCTGATTGCTTGGGAGACTAGCCAATAGGAGTGTTGTTTGTGATGTGTACTAACCAATAAGCGGACTTTCTGTGAGTATAAGTTGATAGCCAATCATAGCGCACGAGCATGGAACTTGTAGCCAATCACAGAGCAGGAGGCGGGATACTGATAGCCAATTCCAGCGCAGCAGGCGTCAACCTCACCTACTCTGTCAGACTGCAGTCTGGAGAAGTTTGGTGGTTTGTTAGGTGCACAAGCCTAGGTCCAGTCCCAGGTCCAGGTCCAGGTCTAGTCTGCAGGATGAACTCATTTAAAGACGCGACTCTGTTTATCGACCTGAGCTTCCTCTCCACCGAGGAGGAGGCGGTAATCCGGCAGGTGCTTCTGAGAGATGAGGACTTAAAAAGGCTCGAAATTGGCCGTGTGAGGTAAGAACATCTGCTCTGCTCTCCACAGCGCTCATTACAGCAGCACTGACCCACACATGCAGGAGAATGCGCAGCAGTGCTGCGTGCTGGACTTTAATGAGGACAAGGGCTCAGTTTTACTGTTTACATTTTGTCCTTAATCAGATCTCCTGGTTAGGGAGGAAGAATGGATCTCCATTAGAAAGCTACTGCATTCATGTGAGCCTGTGCTTCAGATTTGACTTGGATGAAAAGTACAGGGAGTCCAGAATAAGCAGATTAAGTGGAGGTTGAAGACCACCCTTCATTTATTCCAGTCGAAATGGCTTCTAAACTACAAGTTACTCGTTTTTCATCAATGCGTATTTAACAGCAAACTGCACAGAAACCTCAAAAACTTTTCTCCATACTTTACCTTTATTACAGCTTCTCATCTTTTCAGGAGACTCACTTTCAGTTCCTCAAAGAATCTGCAGACACACCTCCAAAGTTCAGTCTTAGAAGCTGGTTGATGATTTTCTGAACTAATCAAACACATTCAGTGGTGTTGAGGTCTGGACTCTGGGGTGGTCAGTCCATTGTTCAGCTTCTTTGTTTGATGTGTCCGTCTCCTTTTCTCAGTGAGGCTCTTCTTGACAGCTACACATCCTTTCAGACCCATAGCAGAAGCATAGAAGCTTGTTTTTTTGCACTTTGATTTTCCTTTTTCTTGTGTAAGTGTTCTCCTCAGAAACATTAATAATAATAACTTGTACTTAATGGCTATTTTGACTGAAAGTGAATAAATGAAGGGTGGTCTCTGACGTTTGCACAGTATGGAGAGGAAAGAAGGGAGAAAAGCGACACACCTTAGTTGCTCTGATTGGCTTTACTCTTATGACACATTTGACACTTATTACACAATTACACATTACCTCTATACCATATGACAGAATAGCATACAGAGCTCTGACGTGTCAGTAAATTAAAAAAAAAAAAGAAATTAGTGAGTAAAATAAATGTAATTTACCTGATGTGTCTGGAAAGTGTTGTATCACCTTTGGCCTCTATGATAACATGTTTTGATGAGGTGATTTTAATACATAACATCTCTGTGCCACCTTTTTCAAGTGATGTCCTTAATCACAACTGTGAACTGGAAAAAAAAAAAAAAGCAAAAGATGTCTTATTGTCTGTAGTTAAATTTTATCCTAACCCCAAACCTTCTTTCTGCAGGCTCATCACTTCTGTTCCAGGTGAAAGGGAAATTCCATCAGTTTTTAAAATTTCTTTATAATTAAGTGGTTAAGATGGTTTGGTGTGAAATGCTCAATTCCTGAGAAACTTACCGAGTCAGAACTGATCACAGTGGTGGTGATAGGAACCAGACGTCCACCTCTAAAAGCTCCCTCACAGAAAGTTACTACATGAAATGGTTAGGTATTCACTGCCTGATGTCTGAGGCCTTAAATGTATTCTTTAACACCATTCATGGTGGAAGGATACATATGAGACACTATAAGGCAAAATAGTTCCCAAAAAGTTTTAAGAATTAGCAATATTTTCACTTAATCAACATTCCATATAAAAGAAGACTCGTGTAGGTTCACTGGTGCTTTTGTATAGTAAATAAAATGCCTATATTTGTGTTGTAGTCATGGTGACCCCTGGTTCCTATCACCACTACTGTAAAGACATCTGAGTCTCTGAAATCAACCGTTTCACACCAAACCACTCTGAATGACTTTGTGTACATGTAAATGACTGAATTATACAGAAAATTATGGAGAAATGTATGGAATCTCCCTTTAAATCCACAGGTTATAGTCCGTTATAGTCAGTTTTCATATGAACTTTCACTGAAACTGCAGATTTGTCATACTTTTAAGTCAAAGTAATAATTGAATTAATTTAGTTTCTCTCTTTCTACGTGTGTTATTAGTGTCAGAGAAATTATGACCTCAAGGTAGCATGAAGATCATAATAAGTGTAAACTCTTAAAAGGTTCCCAAATGGTTTTTGGCTTGTACGTATGGTTCTAGGAAAAACCTTTAATTGGTATAGAACTTTTGCATTATGTAGAGATTCTTTAAACTCTCAGTTTACAGACAAACATCCCCAATGAACCACCCATTAAAAGTGAAGGAAAAGTTGTTGCTTTATAAAGGCACCCTTATTTTTTAAGATTGTTACCCTAAACTCTCAGAAATAAAGGTACTAAACTGTCACTATGGCAGCACCCCATGTCACTGGGGTGGTTCCTTCAAGGGTACATCTCAGTACCTTTAGTCAGGGAACATATCTGTACCATAATCCACTGAAATGATATGTTCTAAGCTGTACTGACTCCACACACCCCGTCTCGTCTCCAGGCTTTTATTTTACTGTTCTGTTTTAAAACATTCGGTTATGAAAAGGTACAAATACAAACTTTTCACCTGGAAAAACTTATTTAAGGTTCACAATCAGACCTTAAAACCACTGTTGTAGCTTTGAGGGGACATTTACATTGTTTGTACCTCGATGAACGTAAAATGTACCTGAACAGAACCTTTATTTCTAACCGTGTATGTGTACTTTAATATGAGTGGATCACTAAGAATTTACTGTTTCTTAATCAAAATCGAAGTCAAATGGAAGAACAGCACCGTTCAAATCTTCTAGTTGAATTAACTGCAGTTATTTATCTGCTTTCCTTGAGTTGTGCTTTCTTCACAGCCTGACCTCTGAATTATGGAGATATTTTTAAAAATCAGTGGAATTCCCCTTTAAGTGTTATGCGTTTAATCCAGCTTTATGGTTGTTCATACCAGGAGGCTGAGGAATTCAGTGCCTGACTCCAAGCAGCTGAAGGTTCTGTCAGGAGAATGGTTTGAGGAGCTCAGGTCGAAGAGATATGGACGACAGCCGGCTATTTCAGCGGTAGTGAGGTCTTCAATGAGGTGGAAGAAATCAGCAGGTACCTGATATTTCCCTTAAGAAGCTTAAAGAAAGAGAATTTCCTTCTTTCATCTTTCACTGCTTCAGCTGCGTAAGAGATAGCAGTCCTCCACTCAGCTTTTCCATGTGCTCGTTTGTTCCTATATGTAGACAGTGGCGTTTTTCATGTTAGAACAAGCATATTTGTTGATAATTTTACTAGATAAATTGACTTAAAGGGCCCACATCCAGTTTTGATTATACAGGGTGATTTAAAAAGATTCATCTGATTTCAAACTTATTTATTTCACTTGTAAATCATTACAGATCAATGCAGTGAACTGTAAATGGTTTAAATGAGCATAAAGTTTATTATGTAACTTTATAAGTGCTCAGTATGAACCTCCTCCAGCTGTACGGACAACATCAACGCCATAGTCACATTCATCCCATACTGGATTGAGCATGTCGGGTGTCGCTGCACTCACGGCTCTTTCAGCGCGATTTCGGAGATCATCCAGTGTTGTGGAACCAACGACGAACGCTCTAAGCTGTTGGAGCTTCACTGCCCACGAAAATCACACTGCACAGTTATGACAGATTCACTCTTATTGAAGTGGAGAACGCAGAACGCTTTCTGCTCAGGGGTCTCATCTCCTCTCAGACTGAAGGGAGCCATCTTCCACTGACAGTCAGAAACTCTATGACCCCCTCTTACAATTGGTATGTGATTGGTTCCTAGGCGCCTCACGCTTGTAAAACTATGGCGCTTCGGATGAAATCAGATGAATCTTTTTGAATCACCCTGTATTTTATTTTCTCCTGAAGCTGATTTGTGTGTGGTCTTATGTACTAAAAATAATCAACCTTTGTTTACCCCTTAGAACAAAACAGACTTTTTTTTAATTGTGCTTTTAATGCTATTCTATGTAAATGAGCTCTGTTTTGGACGCACTGTATTGTTTCTCATTCACAAAGCAGTCGAGGCTGAAACACTCCTTATAACTTCAGCATAGGCAGGGCTAAACGGCTGTAGACTAGTGAATGGTCAGATATGTGTAAATGTGTTGGGTTTTTGTGACCTCACATAAACAATGAATTCAACATTGGCTGTATTTGCAGCTTAATTTCCATATATGGACTGTATAAACTGAGCAGTGGTACATTTTTAAATTTTAACAATGTTTACAAACTACATCAAACTCTCTTATTTAAAGGGAGTAAGGAAAATTCAGTTTTCCATGATATGAGCCCATTAAAATGGGCAAAATACATAGAGCACATGTGTCAAACCCCAGGCCCGCAGGCCCGCGGGCCAAGTCAAGTCTTATTTGGCCCACAAAATTATTTTAATTTTCTTTTAATATTAGCCCATTTCAGCATGAGCTGCACTACAGTTCCCAGCATGCACTGCAATGTAATGTGTGCTGCCCACCCCCTCCCCAATAACGATCTATGGGACAGATGCCAACTGTCTTGTACCATCGAATGGGCAGTTTTAAAAACCTACTATACACTGGGGACATTTAAAGAGGTTTAACAGTATCTGCAGCTAATGTAGTCACTGTTTTATATAAAACAGTTCGTTTTACTTAAAATTATTTTTTAATAGCTGAAGTATTCAGTGTCAGTTTTTGCCATTGTAGTTTTGGCATATTTTGAACAAACAATGGCCAGTTGGGGTCATGGCAAAATGTTAAGTCAAAATGAAATAAAAACACAGCTGGTGCACAGATTAGTTGAGATTTTTAATGTGGCCCGTTTTAGTGGTGGAGTTTGACACCCCTGGCCTAGAGGTTAGTTGAATTATGCTAATATTTTTACAGCAACCTCATAATGAGACTTATATACTCATTATATATAACAGGGGTGTCAAACTCAACCACTAAAAGGGCCATATTAAGAAATCTCAACAAATCTGTGGGCCACATTTTGCCACATTTTGCCTGCAAAAAACAGGCACTGAATACTTGAACGATTAAAAAATAATTTTAAATAAAAACAAACTGTTTTATATAAAACAATAGACTACATTACCTGCAGAGAACTGTTAAACCTCTTTTAATGTACAGTAAGTTTTTAAAACTGCCCATTCGCTTGAACGGGACACCTGGGGGGTATTCCACATAGCAGGATTTCTCAGTTTAGCTAGATAATTTAAACCCAAAGTCAAGCCTGTCCAATAGGAAAAGAGCTAAGGGGCATTCCCATTGGACAGTCCTCATCTTTGGGCTTAAGTTATCTGGCTAACTAAGAAATCCTGCTTTGTGGAATACCCCCCTGGCATCTTTATTTTTGTTTGTTTTGTTTTGTTTTTGTGGTGCAGTCCTATAGATGTTGTTGGGGAGGGAGTGGGAGCACTTATTTTGCAGTGCATGCTGGGAACTGTAGTGCAGTTCATGGTGAAATGGGCTAATATTAATAGAAAATTAAAATAATTTCGTGGGCCGAATAGGATTGTGCCACGGGCCTTGTGTTTGACACATGGGAGATATAAGACGCCTCCTCCTGCTGTTATTTTTGCAGCCTATGGAAATCCTCTTATAAGTCATTGCTTCTCCTGATTGTAGAGATTTGCCCCGCTTTACTTTGTTGCTCACTAAGCTCTCTCTACTCTCTAGGCCATAAACCGCTGCCCTTCCTGAATGTTGTGCCTGAGGAAAAAGACGGTGAAAAGGAAGAGAAGAAGACTCGCCCAGAGTAATGCGCGTTATTTTGCCCTAATTATCTCCAAAGGAAAAGATATGGGGTAGTTGAAAAATGAAGTATCACGCAGCACCACCCACTGTAAACACACTGAACAGTGGTGGAGGGTGTGTGCTGCGTTCACTGTTTACACAGAAACTGAGCAGCCTCACATGCCACTGGTGTGGAGCTGTAGGAATAATGTGAGAAGCTGCTTATCATCAGAAAAGTGGAAAACACTGATACTGTTGTAATGATTTACCAAAATATCATGAATGTATATTATGTATACTTAGGAAGCTGTGAAACAACAATCTAAATGACTGATTCAGTCAAACCAGAACCAATTAGCCTGGCCACTTTCTGTTTATCCCAAAATAGTCAAAAACATGACTGCAGAACACTAGACTGCACCCGCGAGAGCGTCCTCAATGAGTGAGAATGAAACAGCCAAAAATGAAAAGTTTATTAAGTAAAAGTTTGTATTTCATTAAAAATCAGAAAAATCTCACCAGTATCTTTCCGTTTTCCTACAGCAAACAGGTTTTGAGTTGTAGGATTACTAGAATTACTACTATTGAGCCCTAAATGGTTGGCATTACTGCTACTGAGTGCTGACTGGTTAGCATTACTGCTACTGAGCACTGATTGGTTAGCCTTACTGCTACTGAGTGCTGATTGGTTAGTGTTACTGCTACTGAGTGCTGATTGGTTAGCGTTACTGCTACTGAGCGCTGATTGGTTAGCCTTACTGCTACTGAGTGCTGATTGGTTAGCCTTACTGCTACTGAGTGCTGATTGGTTAGCCTTACTGCTACTGAACGCTGATTGGTTGGCATTACTGCTACTGAGCGCTGATTGGTTAGCATTACTACTACTGAGCGCTGATTGGTTAACGTTACTGCTACTGAGTGCTGATTGGTTAGCGTTACTGCTACTGAGTGCTGATTGGTTAGCGTTACTGCTACTGAGCGCTGATTGGTTAGCGTTACTGCTACTGAGTGCTGATTGGTTAGCATTACTGCTACTGAGTGCTGATTGGTTAGCATTACTGCTACTGAGTGCTGATTGGTTAGCCTTACTGCTACTGAGCGCTCATTGGTTGGCATTACTGCTACTGAGCGCTGATTAGTTAGCATTACTGCTACTGACTGCTGAGTAGTTAGCATTACTGCTACTGAGCGCTGATTAGTTAGCATTGCTGCTACTGACTGCTGAGTAGTTAGCATTATTACTACTGGGTGCTGATTAGTTAGCATTACTGCTACTGACTGCTCAGTAGTTAGCATTACTGCTACTGACTGCTGAGTGGTTACCACTAGTGCTACTGAGTGCTGATTGGTTAGCATTACTGCTACTTGGTGCTGATTGGTTAGCATTACTGCCGCTGAGTGCTGATTGGTTGGCATTACTGCTACTGGCTGCTGACTGGTTGGTGAGCTGATCAGCTCATTGGCAGTTCAGGTTGACTGATTTCAAGAACATACAGGAGACGCTGCTAGGAAGTCCTGTAACTGGAGTTCAGAAGTGCTCAAATTATAACAGCAGTGTTGAAATATGTGCTGTTCTTCGTTTATTCTTCTATATAAACAAATAAGCATTTACACACTAATATTTTGCACAAAAGCTCCATAGGAACCCATTTATTTTGGACACACTTGGCAGCGCCCTCTAGTGTTTGATAAACCTGATATTGCTGAGTGGCAGTTCTCCTCTCAAAAAAATTCCTTGGTCAGATATTTCAGACCAGTCATGGACACAAAGGTCTGAGGTCCCCAGCCTCTGCTCTCTGAACTTTTTTGTTTCTACTAGCATTTCGTTCCTATTCAGCATCACACAACAACTAGATGAGAAATGTATAAACTTGTAAACTTATCACTGCTAGTTCACATTTTAAACAAAATTGGGATACACACATTGCAAAAATAATATCTTGGCAAGTGAAATCTTTCCAAAGTCTGTAGTCAAAATATGTTATGTTAAGATTATTTAACTTATTTCTAGACATTTTCTACTTATTTTAAGACATTTTATCTAGTGGATGTCTTATTACCATTGGCAGATAATTTTACTTTTTTCAAGAAATAATCTTAGAACATGCAACATTATCCGCCAGTGGAATAAGACACTTTCAGAAGATAAAATTACTTAAAAAAGTAAGATATTATAGTATAAGATATATACTGAAATGATATGTTCTAAGCTGTACTGACTCATCACACCCCGTCTCGTCTCCAGGCTTTTATTTTACTGTTCTGTTTTAAATCATTCGGTTATGAAAAGGTGCGAATACGAACTTTTCACCTGGAGAAACTTATTAAAGGTTCACAATCAGACCTTAAAACCACTGTTGTACCTTTGAGGGAACATTAACACTGTCTGTACCTTGATGAATGAAAAACACACCTGCAGAATGGGAAATATTAGATGTAAGACTAGACTAGATTAGACTAAAATAAAGATGGCTTCTCTTGCCAAGATATAATTTCTTGCAGTGTAATAATACATATTTTTGTCATTTTCTTGCCTGACGCTGGACAGTGTACACATCCACGAGAGACAAGCTTGGGGCGACATTAGTGACTCGTCGCATGCATTCACTGCAAAAATTACATCTTGACAAGTGAAATCCTAAATCTAGTCTAAATATCTAATATTTCTCATTGGGAGATGATGAGTATTGAGACATAAGAGTATTACAAGATCAGTTATCTCTAGATTTTTTCTTATTTTGAGTCATTTGACCTCTAAATTTTAAGCATTACCTCTACAAAAAGATTTTAGGCATTATTTCTTAAAACACACAAAAATTATTAGACACTTTCACTAAATAAAAAGACTTAAGGAAGAAAAGGTCTTAAAATGAGGAATATTAGATATTTAGAGTAGATTTAAGATGATTCCATATGCCAAGAGATGCAGGATTATGCAGATATTGTGGTAGATGTTTGCAATATTGCCTAAATGATCTGTGCTTTACTCATTGTCCTTTCCTTCCTGGAACATAATACACTTACGTTACTGAGCCAAGTATTGATTTATTGAAAATGCCAAAGCTTTTTTTTTGGTGTTATTTTAGATTATCAGTTGACCCCAGATCGATCCATCCTGCTTTGAGTGTTGAGGTTTGTCATATTTCATCAGTATTCTCATTTTCTAACTGGCACAAGATAGCAGCACTAGTATTAGCGTAGATATTGATTTTGTACTGTAAACACAGCTGTTGATTTCTCCAGGTCTCCCGGGAATACAAAGATGAAGACATCACTTTGGAAGTTGGTGAGTTTCAAATTGAAGTGTAACATTGTGCTTGTTTATGCAATGAAGGTGACTCTGAGCCTTTTGCATCAGTTTGGGGTGCAAATAGGACGCAGTCTGCTAACGTGTGTGTATATATACACACGTTAGCGTGTCAGTCAGGCCAATTGGACATGCTAAATTGCCCCTAGGGGTGAATGTGTGTGTGTGATTGTGTATGTATGTCTGTCTGTCTGCCCTGCGATGGACTGGCGACCTGACCAGGGTGTATCCCGCCTTTCGCCCAATGACAGCTGGGATAGGCTCCAGCACCCCACCGCGACCCAGAAGGATAAGCGGTCTAGATGATGTGTGTATGTATGTGTGTATGTATAGTCCAAACTGAATAACAGCAACAGCAAACAACAGGAGAAATTTAGCTTGGAATGCAATTCCAGATTTTGGGAGCTATCAGGAACAGGGCTCAAAGAACATTTACCAGCAGAATAACACAATTTCATCAGAAACCTCTCAGGGCCAGATTCATATTTGCATTGCGGCCCTTATGAGGCTCAAAATACGCTCCCATTCTGTGTATTGTTACCCAAACTGAGTTTTTGAGTAAAATCACAGCTCTGTAATCACATCAAAGGTGTTTTGGTAGGATCCTCATTTCTAACAGAGTGTTAAGTCTTCGTCACTCAACTTGCAATTTCTCTGTCATGAGCTGCACGTTTTAAACCCAGCATGTCTTGAGTGTGCAGTTAGTAGGTGGTCATGTGCAGTTTGTGTTTAGTGAAAGCATTAGTAATTTAAACATTCATTTCACATGCAGTATTATCACAGGTTGGGGTCGCATCAGGCACTATATGCTGACTGTGCATGAACATGCGACTGGCCCTCAGCATGACATCTTATAGTAGCTCCTTTTTACATTGACATCATTTGTCATGTTTACAATCAAATGCATCATTTATTTATCCAGAACTATTTCTGTGACATTTTCAGAGACCCAGTCAAGTCAAACTCCAGCCAAGGACGTTCTACCTGGACGTCTCGTCACTGGCGCCACCGTCCCGGGAAGTCAGTCAGCAGGAAAACCCAAAGAAGTGTATCAAGAAAAAACAGTTCTTGTCCAGTCTTCTAAACTTGAGCCTGTGCTGCAGCCTAAGTCTAAAGGAGCTGTAGCTACAAGCACCACAACAAACGCTACAACAGCAAATCCTGTGCTGAACGCTGCCACACTTGGCGCAACAACTAGCGCCAAACCAAATGCATCACCTAGCGCAGCAACTAGCGCAAAAACAAGCGCAGCAACTAGCATCACATCAGCAAATGCAGCTAGTATAGCAACTGCTAGCGCAAGTGCAACAACTACCACTAAAACCAGCACTGCAACAACTAGTGCAGCAACTAGTGCAACAACTAGTGCAACAGCTATTACAACAACTAGTGCAACAACTAGCGCAACAGCTAGTGCAACAACTAGCGCAACAGCTAGTGCAACAACTAGCGCAACAGCTAGTGCAGGGCCCAGAAGAAAAGTGTCTCTCCCTCCAGCGCTGCAGAAAGACGCATCGTTTGAGGAGAACTGGGTTAAGATCTCCCTGGAGGCCAACACAGTGGAATCAACAGCAGTGGAGATTAAACCTAAAGCGACAGATGGAAACATGCCCGTTGAAACGCTGGCGATAACATCTTTCAGTGAAACGCGGGACACATCAAGTCAGGATCAATCAAGTCAGCCTGTCAGCAGTGCTGACTCAATTAGCACTGGGCCAAAGGTGGAGGCTGGCGAAATAATAAGCTCGAGGAAAGTCACAAAGATAGAAGTGAAGCAGACGCGCACAGTAACGGAGCTGGCGATGAATAAGGATGGCTCTGGTTTGGGAGAGGAAGTGGCCCAAAGTCAGTCATTACGCGAGGATCCAAAAGGGGCTCATGAATTACTCATCGGTTCTCTGCAGGGACAAGAAAGTTCTCCTAAGCTCTTCACTCTTTCCTCTGTGGAGATGATGAAAAAGCAGGCACCGGCGAGCAACACTGTGCCACAAAAACAGAAGGAGGAAATCATAATTTCAGATTTCAAAAGAACGTCTCCGACAAGGATGGATGAGTTGGATGTAAATGTGGAAGAGAGCCTTGAGTACAAAAGCACAGGACCTGCTGTTGACCTAAACGTGGGGAAAGACACCAGTTTAGCCCAAAATAGGTCAGCAGAGACGAACAGGGACAGACCGGCAGGGGCCGAGGTGGTTATTAAAAATGCAGTTCCTGAAAGAAAAGATGGCTTTGATGTAGAATTGGGAGATTCTGAAAGTGCAGATAAGAAAACTGTGGAATTAGCGTTTGTAACAAAGATAGATAAAAAAGACGAACTCCCCAACACAGAAGAAGGACGTACTTTTTCAGATATGGCAGATGAAAGTAATGCCTCCAAAGACGAGCGCAGGAGCGAAAGCGATATTCTCGCCAGTGTATATGCACGGGCCCTCAGGACAAAGTCCCCATCATCTAAGAACACTTCCATCCAAGACCCAAAGCAGGAAAAGGCAGAGGATGTGATTCCCTCTATTGTGATTGTACCATCTGAGTCATCAGAGCCTAAAGACGTGGAAAGTAAGTGCTTTATGTTTGCTCTTGTCACTTTGGTTGGTCTATACTGTGTATCAGCAGCATATTAACATTTCACAGTAACCATAAAATTCAATTTCCGCCTGGAGTTCCCCCTGTTAGGCTACACATGATGTAATATAATATTTTGCTGTAAGTTCACAAAACCAGAGGCAAAACATATTTCTGTCTTCGATGGTGAGCAAGCAAGTCAACATGTATAGAAGTGTACACCGATCAGGCATAACATTATGACCACTTTCTACGCTCATTGTCCATTTTATCGGCTCCACTTACTATATAGTTGCACTTTGTAGTTCTACAGTTACAGACTGTAGTCCATCTGTTTCTCTGCATACTTTGTTAGCCCCCTTTTACCCTGTTCTTCAGTGGTCAGGACCCCATGGACCCTCACAGAGCAGGTACTATTTGGGTGGTGGATCATTCTCAGCACTGCAGTGACACTGACATGGTGGTGGTGTGTTAGTGTGTGTTGCGCCGGTCTGAGTGGATCAGACACAGCAGTGCTGCTGGAGTTTTTAAACACCTCAGTGTCACTGCTGGACTGAGAATAGTCCACCAACCAAAAATATCCAGCCAACAGCGTCCTGTGGGCAGCGTCCTGTGACCACTGATGAAGGACTAGAGGATGACCAACACAAACTGTGCAGCAGCAGATGAGCTATCGTCTCTGACTTTACATCTACAAGGTGGACTGACAAGGTAGGAGTGTCTAATAGAGTGGACAGTGAGTAGACACAGTATTTAAAAACTCCAGCAGCACTGCTGTGTCTGATCCACTCAGACCAGCAGAACACACACTATCACACCACCACCACATCAGTGTTACTGCAGTGCTGAGAATGATCCACCACCCAAATAGTACCTGCTCTGTGAGGGTCCATGGGGTCCTGACCACTGAAGAACAGGGTAAAAGGGGGCTAATAAAGTATTCAGAGAAACAGATGGACTACAGTCTGTAACTGTAGAACTACAAAGTGCACCTATATAGTAAGTGGAGCTGATAAAATGGACAAAGAGCATAGAAACAAGGAGGAGGTCATAATGTTATGCCTGATCGGTCTTTATGTGTTTGTGTATATATACACAGATAGATTTTCACAGCAGGGGGTTCTCACTCCTCCCCTTTCACCCCTTATTGCTCACTAGCAGCTCAACGCAGAGTCACAACATCTCACACACAGAGAGAGGCAACAGTGTCCTAGTTAGAGCTGCACTATGTAAGATTTTGTTTGTTAAACTCATTACTGAGTAAGGAGAGTTAAGTAGACTGAGTGAGAAGATCCAGCGCGATGTTTAGGTCCCAAATGATCTCAAAATCAACATCATACTGATGAAGATATGATGACAATAGTAGATAATTCACTCACATCCTCAGAAGACGCTCCTTCACCAGGTTTAGACTGAGTTCTCTTTTAGTCATCAGATTCATCTGCTTGGGGAAGGGGGCAGACGCACAACCTGTATTACAAAGTGTTCTTCTGCGCAACGCATGCATTTCCACCAGAGAAGTCTCCAAATCCCCAAAACTGAAGTGGTGTAGTTTTAATCTAGTAAGAGTTACCGTATTAAGAGTACCTAATAAGAGTTATTTTATTTGGAATATATAGCACAGTGCTATATACTCATTTTCTTTTTGATCTGATACTAAGTGATGCAAAATATCCCAATATCAGTACCTGTGTACTGTGTAAAAGTCTTCTCGTGCACATCAAAAAGGAAATGCTTTGTCAGACTGTGTAAACCAGTAAATGAGGACATTTAATAAACTGACTTTTCAGTGGTGTGAAATAGCTTGATATGATCTGCCGTTATAGAGCATTCACTCCGTCTCGTGTGGCTGCTTGTGTTTGGGGGAAAGAAAAGTAGTTCCTATTACCTTTTATTTATTTATTTATATTATTTTTTTATATTATTTATTTACCTTTTATTTTTCCTTTTTCCTTTTATTACCTACTTATTTTTTGCTTTTTCGCTTGTGCACATTCATATCATTGCAGTCATGCAAAAACCTTGATTCTCTGATTTTTAGGTTGTTAATGCATGATTTGAAAACCCCAGTTCCCTCTGCATTGTGGCAAGGCAAGTTTATTTATATAGCACCTTTCAAACACTGCTGTCATTCAAAGTGCTTTACAAATGAGAAAATACAGAGTCAGATTTGGTTAAAAAAAGTAAAGTAAGCACAAATAGAAAAACAACATTAAAAACATAATTAAAAACATAATTAAAACATGATTGAAGCAATAAATGTAAAAGAGAAAATCATTAAAAATCAAATTAGAAATAAAATTAGTAGAGTTAAATAATCAAAATAAAAACTAAAAGTTAGATTAGGATTGGAAAAAAGTGCCGTTACAGAGAAAAAGGGGCTAGAAACACGAACAGTGTTAAAACTGAGCTGAAAGCTGCTCAAATAGGAACGTTCTGAGCCTGGATTTAAAGTGTCCAGTGTCGGGGCTCTTCTAATGCTCTCTGTCAACTGGGTCATTTAAGAGCAGCATAGTAGCAAAACGCTGCTTCTCCATGTTTAATCATTGTGAATCAATTTTGTGAAGAATGGGCCAATAGAAGTGCTCTAAAACCACGTTTTACAGTTAAATTTACACTAACTTCCATTGCAAATGAAGAATTTGTTGCCTTCCCCTGTAAAGTTACCATTTTGGAGATACAAGGTTTTGTTTCAGCAGTGATGATGTATTGATATTTTTGTGTGATGTAAGATTCTCAAAAGAAAACGTCAAGGATCGGACGTGTCCTTTAGCCCTTCATTACCCACCCTGAACATTCTGTCACTCTTTTCATTAAAAAAGAGTATTGAGGGTGTTCCCTCCCTCACTCCCTCACTCTACAGCACTGTATGCTTTGTTTATATCTGGTATCTCACTTTCAGAACCCGTGCATAAGCTTTTGGTGTCAGGTTTATTTGGTTTCAGCTCTTTCCTCTGACGTTTTAGTGACATTTTAGAGGAGACCTAAAACCTCTTGGCATTGACCCACCCAGTATTACGTTACCAGCCTGTGCTCAAACTTCGACACATTAAATGGTGATAGTTTGTGATATTCCCTATTTTGTTTCACAGGTGTGGAAAGTGGGACATCTGCCCCAGAAGCACCTGCAGAAACACCTGCTACTCCCTCCTTTGTGGTCGACACCTGGGAGGTCAGCCTGCATTCATCCTTTCTTCAGCTCTGAGCACCTTAAACGTCTGATGCTGTTTGTTTGTGGCCTTGATCAAAGCGAGCTGCTTGTTCTTTATGTATAATCAGCTGTTCTGATTTGAACGGCTGATCTTTGTTCCTCTAATCCCTGCAGGATGAAGGCGTGGACTCGGAGGATGATAGCAGCTCAGTGTCCAGCTATGGCTCTGATCTCTCTGGGAGAAGAGGCTTTTCTGCTAGTACGCTCTCAGTCACAGAGGTGAGCCAAACATATTAGAAAACGGACAGTTCTGCTTCTTTAATCTGATTGGCTGAGCCACGTTCTGAGCTGTTTTAAAACACATCAGTTTAATTCTGTATTAAAGGGTTTTACATGATATCTATATCATGTAAAACTTCATTTTCCATAAAAGAGCATACATACCCCAGTCCATACAGTCTATTTATGGAAACTAAGCTGCCAAAACAGCCTGTTTTGAATTCACTGTTTTTGTAATGTCACGAAAAACCTAAATGTGTACATACAGTGCTTAAAAGTAGTCTTAGGGCACTCTGAATACAGTTTATGTCTTGCATATCTATTACTTTCCAAGATAAAGTTATCATTTAGTCATTCATATCACAATAAAAAGCTACAACAGCCAGGTTTATTAACTGAAACTCAAAATTATCCCAGTAATTAACTGAAAAGTAATGTAAGTAAAAGTACTAAAACACTCGTGTCTCGTTCCACTGTGTAGGTCAGTATTTAGTATTTTATTTAGGTCAGTATTTTGTTGCATGTCCCTTCTTTTAGATGTCTATCTAATATCTTATGGGGTGTATGAGTGTGCAAAACTGATGCTCAGCCAGGCTTGTTGAATTTTCTCTTTTGATGACCAGACTGTGGCAGGTTTTGAACACTTCAGCTCTTTTTCCACAACTTTGGTCCTTTTTTTTCACATTTTAGAGTTTATAAAGTATCTGTTCTCTTTCTCATCGACATTTTGTAAAAAAGAGACAGTATTTTTTGACAGATTCAGTTCAGCTCAGTATTCAAGATTAATGCAATTAAGTCTTTTATGTTGGGTGTCGCTTTCCAGGAGCAGCGGTGGAGATCTCAGGTTTGAACGTGTGCATTTGGATTAATGTCCTGACGTTTGTTTTGAAGTGAATTGGGGGATTAGGTGAAAGTTTTTTAGTTTTCTATTGTGCAGTTGGGCCCAAAGTATTGATAAGTTATAATAATATCTGTAATAATGCACATTTGAATACACTAAATCACAATACATTAACAAATTGTTAAAAATACAGTTGATGATAGTGGCATTCCAAAGAGCACTGCATATTTGCCTATCCAGCCTACTGCAGTTTAGCCCCGCCCACTTATGCTGAAGTTATAAGGAGCGTTTCAGCCCAGACTGCTTTTTGAATAAGGCACAATACAAGACAGCAAATCAGAACAAAGGTAATTTACATATCAGTCTTAAAGGCAGAGCAAGAAAGCAGCTTGCTACAAAGTAGAACCTTCAAAGTGCCTTCAGAAGTGATTAACTCTGTCCATATTATGTGTGCTGGTATTGTAACACTGAGTGCTTTTACATGCACTTAATGATCAGATAACTGCAGAAAATCAGTAATCTGATCAAGAAAATCCTAAAGAAATCAGAATAAGAGTGCACATGCACTGAGAAATCTGATTACTGAGCTAAAATCCAGCTCTCCTTTATCGGATTTCTAGCTCTTACTCTGATCTAAGAAATCAGAGTGTGCTGTTTACATGACCATTTGAATAATCAGATAACTGCTGAAATCCGATTATGATCGGATTATTGAGTGCATGTAAACGCACTTATTGTCTCTCCTGTTTTCTGTTTTTTTAGCGCACTGGTAGTTTGCTGAGTGTGTACAGTGATGCGGGGGATTTCGGGAACGTGATGGTGCAGGGATCTGTGGAGTTCGCTCTAATGTACAGTCCCTCTGGGAGAACTGGTCATTATGGTGGAACAGTGTCAGGACCTGGCCATCGCAAACCCACGCAAACAACGGACAGACCCGTGAGTTCTGTCCAACAAACTGGCCCTTTTTTCAGGAGCTGATTTCTGCTGTAGGCTGTCAAGAAAAAAGTAGTTTAGTCCTCCAAAATACAAACTATTCGTATGTACCTTCATATGTACAACATTGTCTTTTAAAGTAATAGTTTGGCAAAAATCTAATTTGCATGATTTTCTAATGGACACAAATGCAGTTGATCAGCTAAGACATGTTTGGTGTCCAAGTTTTGCTTCTTTAGTTGAGAATTGGAGCTGCAAACACTGCAAATATGGTGCTAACAAGCACTGGAAGTCAGTGGTCACCCAAACCGTTTCCACAAATACCAGCTAAAATCCAGTTATTTGCTCCAGTTTACACTGGTTTTGGTAAAATGGCATGGAAATACCTCATTAACACATTAAGCTGAAATTGTAACTATGTTATCAGCCATATAATGTTCTGCTTTCCATCCTTCAGTCTCTGGGAGGCCGAAGCGCAAGTGCATCTTTTTAGCTACATGGAGACATTTTTTCCCAATTTTTATAGTTCATAGTGAGTCATACTGTGTTTATCTGGGGTTGACCAGAGGAGGATGGGTTCCTCCCTTGAGCCTGGGTTCCTCTCGAGGTTTCTTCCTCTTACTCCTAGGGAGTTTTTCCTTGCCACTTTCGCCTCTGGCTTGGACCTGGATTCAGTTTCTTTATGTCTGTACATTGACTCCTTTTTTATTTTTATTTTATTTTCTTTTTATTCTTTTGATAACCCTTCCATAAAAATTTCCCTTCTATAAACTGCTTTTCTGTTAAGCTGCTTTGAGACAACACTAGTTGCAAAAAGCGCTATACAAATAAATGTTGTTGTTGTCGTTGTTGTTTATCTGCGCAGCCTGAATTAAGATCTGGAGGCAGTTTGAGTGGGTTGGCAGAGGTTTTGGGGGTGTATTTAAGGAAACGGTTGGGTGACTATTGACTTCCAGTATTTGTTATGCTTTGAACTCTAGTTCAAAACTGAAGAAAGCTGAATTTGGATGACAAAAGTCTTGGCTGGTCAGCTACATCTGGGTGAAGTGGAAAATTATATAAATTTGATTAAATTTTTTGCTGAAATATCCTTTTAATGTCCAGCTTTGTACCTGTTTTTAAAGTGCATTATGTTCATTTTTCCAGATGGAAAATTAACATTTTGTTTAACAAGAAAATTACTCTGGCCCTAATCTAGACGTCTACTAGCCTCCATTTTGAAGAATAATGTGAAAAAGTGAGTTCATGGGCTGTTTACTGTACCTTTGCGCTAGATATGTGAAGACCTACCTCTATCCAGACAAAAGAAGCAAGAGAAAGACTTCCATCAAGAAACGCACAGTGAACCCCGTCTTTGTGGAATCTTTGAGAGTATGTTTCTCTATTATTTCTTTTCCATGACACTTGGTGCGAAGTACAAGGTGGGATTGCTGGAAGTAATTTGAGCTATTCTCTTGAATTCCCCACACAGTACAAAGTGAAGCGTGAAGAATTGCCTGGAAAGACTCTGAACTTGTCTGTGTGGCACAATGACTCGCTGGGCAGAAATGTCTTTCTGGGTCAGGTGGAGCTCAGTCTGAAAAACTGGGACTGGGGACATCAGGCGCTCACCTGGTACAACCTCCAGCCCAAGGTGGGGAAAACAATTAGTTCTAAATGCAGTTAATTGATTTTTAACTATAATTTTATTAATTAACTGATTGGACCATTGTGCCCTCTGCAGTTACCTCTCATTTTGCCCTCTGAGAACACCAGCATTCCAAAGTCCATCTATACAACCAGCTATTTCTTTCCTCCATAGTGCAACAAAACAATTGAACCTGTGTTGTGGTGTGTACAGTCAGTCTGTCTGATTGAATGCATTTAGCATTTACAGGATTGTGCCAATAACTTTAGCACCTGAGAAAATTATATTTAAAAAGCTCTCTATCTAGGTAGCATAGTATTTGCTGAGAAAAACACTAATAATAGAGTAAATACAAATAACATTAATGCAATAAATAGTAATTTTATATGTCGCTGTTGTCGGAAGAAAACCTTGTCTCTCCAAAATGGTAACTTTACAGGAGAAGGAAAAAAACTGCTTTACTTTTAATGTAAGTCAATGGAACCAGACTTTTTTCGAAGTCATTTTGGGTCGTTTCTTTTAGTCCGTTCATCATGAAATTTACACACAATGTAAAGAACAACAGACACTTTCAAATTATGTCAAAAACTGAAAAACATCAAAAATGGAGATACAAGGTTTTCTTCCAACAATAGCGATACGTTAATGTGTTTAACACTTGGTTTAGTTAATCAGTTCTTTGTTATATTAAATCAGGTGTGCTGCTGCTGGAATTGAACACATTTTTATATAATGTCTTTAGGCGTCCAGATAACAGCTACTTTTTTCTTGTTATTTTTTAATGCAGTGTTTATTGGTATTTATCCTAATGTTTTGTGGTGTTTCACTGCCAAATACAATGTAAATAAGTTTTAAACAATGTGCTTCGCTGCCAAAGAGATGTGCACAGTACTGGGAATAATATGAGTATTAAAGGAAAGTGTCACCTTGTTTCTATATATATATATATATATATATGTTATTTTAGTTTTTACCCGATTTTCTCCCCAATTTAGTCGTCTCCAATTCCACCCGCTAGTTAGGACTCCCCCAATCACACGATGCTATCAACGCTAGGAGGGTGAAGGCTAACACAGGCTTCCTCCGAGACCTGTGAAACCAACAACCGCTTCTTTTCGAGCTGCCGCTCACGCAACGTCACTGGACAGCCGAACGCACTCGGAGGAGAGCGCCACCCGCCAGACCTGTTACGTCAGCTAACAGACGCCTGCGCTGACTAGTATCGCGTTAAGCGATGGGGGGAGAAGGAGGGGCCATCCTACCCACCCAGAGAGAACGAGGCCAATTGTGCTCTCTCGGACTCCCGGCTACGGACGGCTGTAGCATCACCAGGGATCGAACTCGTTTCTATATTTTTAAATAAACAGCACATCAGCTTTTCTCATAATTGATATCCAAGGCTGATCAACTTGTTGGCCAGTGGAATTGGTAGTTGATCCCACAGTTCTAGGCAAATAAAATCCCCATTATTTTGTGAATTGTGTGGTATTGTGTATATTTTCTGCTTTAACTGTTTCTGGATTTGAAATAATTCTTAATGTATTATCTTCCTATTATAGAATGCTGATAATCAGGAATCCCAGGAATATTGCGGACTGCTGTCTGTCTCTCTGAAATATATACCTCCAGAACCCAGAGGTACTTAAAATGCAGCTTTCCTTTTGAGCATTTTATATCAATATAAAACAATTCTGTTTCAAATATTGCTGATAATTTGAATGTACACTGTCTCGTCTCCTGTGGTCTCACTGTAGGGAGCTCTAAGCTCGGTACAGGAGAGATTCATGTCTGGCTGCGGGAGGCGAGACAGTTACGTCGCCTGAAGGCTCAGGGAGTCAACTCGTTCGTGAAGTGGTGAGTGTGTCAGTGTATGTTTAATGCAGGGGTGGTAGATCGGCTCTTTTCTCGCGTTAGAAAGAAAAGCGCCTCTCATTCACTGTTCAACAATAGTGTAAGAGCTCCGTTTGTCAGAGACCTGACATGCATGAAAACGAACCTGCTGTTTGTTTAAAGGGCAAATGTACACACTGACTCTGTTTACTCTCTGAATCATTCAGTTCTCAGCACAGGCTTAAACTCAGGAGTGTGAATGGACACTGCGGGAAGCCTGATTAGCGCTAATACCTGGCATTGTGTGTCATATAATGAATTAGTTTCACAGTCATATTAGGTAAAGCCGCTACACCAGCATCAAACGTTTAGAAAACGTGCCATAATTATTTTTAAATATAAGACTTTCTGGATATTAATCTTGTTACAACTTCATTCATGTATAATACATTTGTTAAAATGTTTAATTTATTACAGCTTAATTCTGGATATTAATTTTATTACGACTTCATTCTTCAGACAATAATTCAAAACATACAGTGTAGAGTTAAATTTTAACACCAAAAGGTTTTTAGATGTTTGAATATATATATGTATGTATGTATGTGTATATATATATATATATATATATATATATATACACACACATACATACATATATACATACACACACATACATGTATGTATAATTGTGTGTGTGTGTGTGTGTGTGTGTGTGTGTGTGTGTGTGTGTACGTATATCTAATGCAAATAGTAATTAAATGTATTTACAATACGTACATATTTGTGAAGTTATTTCCTTTGATCACTAATTTTGTAACACAAAGCATTCTGGATATTAATTTTATTACTGGATATTAACTTCATTCTTCATACAATAATACAAAACATACAATGTATAGTTAAATTTTAACACCAAAAGGTATTTAGATGTTTAATTTAACATTAATTTAATGTTAAATTAATTAAATATAATTAAAAAATAATAAATAAATAATTGAATGTAATTGATATATATAAAAATAAATATATATATATATATATATATATATATAGCTGTTGTCGGAAGAAAACCTCGTATAACTACAGAATAAGGAAAAAACCTACTTTACTTTTAAAGCCAGGCAGTGGAACCAGACATTTTTCCAAGTCCAAGTCAAATTTTAATAGAATTTCATGGATATTCATTTCATAAGATTTCCATTTTAAATATTAATTTTATTCTCACTTAATTCTGGATAATAACTTTGAATAGAACTCCATTCTTGACATTCTACACATTTCTTGGTTATTTTAGAATTATCTTCAGCTCTGTTCATCCTTCTGGAGACATCTCTAACAGTTTCTAACTGTCTAATTATTAAAGGACAGACATATTTAATCAATTTTATACATGCATTTGCAACCAAACTGCTTTTATATTATTTGAAAACATTGATTCTAAACTGTTTAATGTGTCTTTTTGTAAGTTACATGTTGCCGGACACCAGTAAGAAGAGCCGTCAGAAGACCCGCGTGGTGAAGAAATCTCTGAACCCCGTCTATAACCATACGATGGTGTACGACGGCTTCAGACCAGATGAAGTGCGCGAGGCCTGCTGTGAACTGACCGCTTGGGACAACAACAAACTCTCCAACCAGTTCCTCGGAGGGGTTCGCCTCAGCCTCGGCACAGGTAAACACCACTCCTTTACTTCAGACCAGCTAATTACCTGTGTCAGTTACATTATGGGATAGGATGTTTTTCTTTATTGGAAAAAAGTCAAAGTAGGAAGCTTTTAAAAAGACTTTAGGAATCACTCGGTATAAAAAATCACTGCTGATTGATCTAGAAACTACATTTTAATGGATTATTTTGAGTTTAATCAAGTAATTGTGACCACTTTCACTGCAGCAAATGAAGTAAATGAAGTGATTTTATGTAGTAAAATTATCTGCCAATAAACTTTGATAATTTAACTTGATAGAACTGCTTGAAACAAGTAAAAAGAAAGAAATGGGCTGGCCTGAACAGTATTTTACAAGCTTTAAATACTCCTTGGTATTTCCAAGTACCTGAATACTCATTCTTAAAACCACTCTTAACAATAATTTGTTTCATTCATATCCATAATTTTAGAAATGTTCCTTACTACAGTTAATATGTCCAGTAGATGGCAGTAAGAGTGAAGAGTGATACAGCTGAAGCCCAGCTGTATGTTACAATGATAGAATCAGTGGTTGTAAACCTCAAATAAAGCAGTTATGAGTCACTTTTATCACTTGTTAAGTCTTTGATTCATATCCACTAAAAGTGTGATGAATCAGATCTGTTGTTTTAATCACCATCCTGGTTATAATTTTAGTTAGTTGTTTTTTATTCGCTATATTGAGTTATTTTATTTGGCAAGTTCGCCTTTTTTTAGAATGGAAAGCAGCAGTGAGGGTGGCATGCAGGTGGAGTTGAGCTCCGTCATAGCAGAGCTACAGAGAGTTTAGTGAAGGGTTGAGGAGTTTTGGAGCTACAGGCTCGTCTAAATGCAGCCTTAAATCTACATGGACCTCCTGGACCCGGTACTGAGCTCAGAAGACGCCGGCTACAAGGCAGTGGGACCATGGAAACTATGAGCACTTCCACCCTCCAGCATGCGACTCTCACTCTAACCTCAACCTTGCAGCCTAAAGTTGCTTGAAACTTGCATGAAACAAAAATTTATGAGTCGCAAAATGTAAAGACTTCTGCAGCTCCTTTGAAACTAAGCCACAAGCATCTCAATTTCGTGAAAAAAGTTTTATGAAACAGCCGATCAAACTGCTGATAAAGCATCATCACGTCAAATGAAACAGTTTTAAAAATAATTAATTTCTGTGAAACAATGGATAAGAAAATGAAAAAGAATATGGTGTTTTAGACGGATGAAAATGAGACTTTCATCACTGACTTGTTGAGATATTAGTTTTCCTAAACCCTGACAAAAAAAACAAACATACGTTTATTCTACGTTTCTGTAACCAGCTGGATTAATCAGCTAACGCTAACTGCTTGTGCCAGAGTTTTTTTTGTTAGCCTGCAGTTAGTGTGATCTACATAACTAGATACAGTATCTCCTTTCAATGCTGCCTAATTTTACCCAGAGCTCAAACATCAAGTACAAATGTAATGGCCACTTAAACATTATTTTTCAAAGGCTTAAAATTGAAACACACAGGAGAGAAAAATTATATACTTATTATATTTCATATATATATATATATATATATATATATATATATATATATATATATATATATATATATATATATACATATAAATAATAGAGTGTTGACCAAAAATAAATGTCAAAGAAATTAAGGGTAAAATAAAAGTGTGGTCCCTCGCACCAAACTCACCGCCCACAACATAATCACAGACCCTCCCTTCACCCATCAATCCAAAACTGCCTTTATATAATACATTAATCATAATAATTAAAACAAACTAACTAACTAAGTAATTAAGTAAACAAATAAGTAAGTAGAAAGAAAAAAAAATAGGCACAAAATAAATTTTAAAGAACCATGGATAGATGGATGGATAAGACTGCGATGGTAGCTTGAAAAATTATACAAAGACAATAAAAATGCTGTAGATTTGTAAATGTAAATAACATTATAGATCAGTTTATATAGCGAGAACGTGAGCTGGAGGAATCACAACTTTGATTGTTTTTTAAAATGGCTTTGTGTACTGTCAGCTCAGCTTTAAGGGCAGAGAACCGAATACCAGCATCATGAACGAATCCTCGAGAAGTGAAGTCATTCAGGCCAGCCCTAGAAACTGTCTGAATAACAACTACAGCAGCCTCATGAGAAATATTAGATACATCGACTAGATTTAAGATGATTTCACTTATGATCAGACCTCAGATTCCGTGTTTTGCAGTGTTATAGAGCGCATTGCACACAGTTGTCCTCTCCTCTGTCCACTTGCAGGGCAGAGTTACGGTAAGAAGGTGGACTGGATGGATTCGGCGAATGAGGAGGTTGAAGTCTGGCAAAAAATGATGGCAAAACCGAACAGCTGGGTTGAGGCTGATCTTCCTCTGAGGGCTTCAATGACTCCCAGGAAATGAGAGAAAATGAAGGCAGCGGTGATTCAGGCGGTGTACAGCCTTATTGATTGATTATTGTGGATGATTCAGAATTATGTAAAACAAAATGTCTCTCCACCAGGAATGGATAAATAACGTGTTTTATACTTCTTAAAAATATGATAAAACAATGTCTCCGACATGAAGAAGTGAATTCATAACTATTTCATGTAGTAACTTTCTGTGAGGGAGTTTTTAGAGGTGGATGTCTGGTTCCTATCACCACCACTGTGAACAATTCTGACTTCTCTAGAACGAAGCATTTCAGGCCACATATATCTTAATTGGGCAGAAAAATTTAAAAAGTGGTGGAATTCCCCTTCAACATTTGGAAATGGGCAGAATTTTTTTGTATTTGCGAATAAAATGAGATGATGGATGGATGGATAGATAGACAGCTGGATAGACGGATGGACGGATAGATGGATGGATGGATGGATAGATAGACAGCTGGGTGGATGGATGGATGGATGGATAGATAGACTGAAGGATGGATATATGGATGGATGGATGGATGGACGGATGGATGGATAGATAGATTGGGCAGAAAAATTGTAAAAATTGGTGGAATTCCCCTTCAACATTTGGAAATAATCAGATTTTTTTGTATTTGTGAATAAAAGCACATACATTGTTAAATATTATTGTAATTGATGATTTTACATTATAATGTCACATTACAAACTTACTGTAGATGAATCGCTGCCTTTTAACACCATTTTACCTTTAAATCTCACTGTCTGAAATGTAGCGTGTATGAATGTAGGCTGGCTTTGTGGAGATTCAGCTCTGTTCTGAAAGGGATTTAGAGCTGAGAGTTTTCATTTACTGCCTCAGTCTGTGTCTGAATTATCCCGTGTCTGGAAAATCAAGCTGAAATACCACAGATAATAGAGGTAATATCGAATTTCCATCCAGTGGAAGATGTGATCATAATCATCATTGAGCTTGTGTTAAGGATTCATTTGCAGCAGTGCTCATTTAATTGGCATGGCTGAAAGAACCAACGTAATATGTAATAAAATGCATAGAATTTGTTTGTCTCTGTTCCAGATGAAGGGAATTGTGCTGTTTTATCTGTTCTAGTTTGGTTTAGAAGGTGTAAATGGTGTTAAGTACTGAGTGAGGCTGTGCATTAGAGCCTTCTCTGTGAGCACTCCTGGGTTTTTGGAAGCAGTTATAAATAACTTGGGTGTGTTCATGTCCGGCTGAATGATTCACAGAGCCAAATTAATCATTAACTTCGACAAACTGCGGAGAGTTTTACATGAAATAGTTCTGTATCTGTAATGCATTGACCTACTTTCTACCATTCATCAAAAAATGATTCATTATTTGATATGAAGACTCTGATTGAGCTTTGATTTAGCTTTTATATTCCAGTCAGGCTTCACTGTAAAGAGAATGTGATTAATCTCTAATCTGTCTTATTTAAACGAGCCTGACTGTGCAGGGGGTTTAAAGTTGTTCCACTGGGTTTACCATTCACACTTGGTACTTTTGTCACTTGAAAATAAAATGTGAAACTAGTGATTTAACTGAATTATTGAATGTGTGCTTTTTAACAAGGACACACTGTGATGTGAAGCACCAAAAGCTATGAGTGCTAACAGCTCCCCCTAGGGGGTGGGTGAGTGGGTGAGTGAGTGAACGTGGGAGAATGGGATTGAATGAGGTTCAAACCAGGTCAGTGAGGTGCTTCACATCTAAAAGCGTGTCCCTTATATATGCTTTAAGTCAACATTTACATTGTTCATAAAATACAGAAGAAGGCTTCACTTCTGAGCTGCATACTCGAACTTTCAGTGCCAGCATTTTGACCCCAGATCAGAAACTGTTGTTTTTCAGCTGTTCTTTTTGAGTTCCTCTGTCCTGCAGATTTTGGTGTTCTCATGATGGATGGATGGATGGATGGATGGATGGATGGATAGACAGACAGCTAGATGGTTCAATGGATGGATGGTTAGATGAATAGGCGGATGACTGGATGGATACATACATACATACATACATGGATACATGGATGGATGGATGGATAGACAGACAGATAGATGAATATATGGATGGATGGATGGATAGAAAGACAGCTGGATAGATAGCTAGTTAGCTGGACAGATGAATATGTGGATGGATGGATGGATGGATGGATGGATGGACGGATGGATGGATGGATGGATGGTTAGATGAATAGGCGGATGGCTGGATGGATACATACATACATACATACATACATACATGGATGGATACATGGATGGATGGATGGATAGACAGACAGATAGATGAATAATGAATATATAGATGGATGGATGGATAGAAAGACAGCTGGATGGATAGATAGACAGCTGGATAGATAGCTAGTTAGCTGGATAGATGAATATGTGGATGGATGGATGGATGGATGGATAGACGGATGGATGGATGGATGGATGGATGGTTGGATTGGATGGGCGAAAAGGTGGATAGACAGCTAGAAGGATGGATGGATGGATGAATAAGTAGATGGCTGAATTGATACAAACATGGATAGACAGACAGACAGATGGATACATGAATAGGTGGATGGATGGATGGATGGATGGATAGATGAATAGGTAGATGGCTGAATGGATACATATATTGATGCATGAATGGATGGATAGATTTATACATGGATGGATGGAGATGGATTGGATGGACGGATAGGTGGATAGACAGCTGGAAAGATGGATGGATGGATGAATAGGTAGATGGCTGAATTGATACAAACATGGGTAGACAGACAGACAGATGGATACATGAATAGGTGGTGGATGGATGGATGGATGGATGGGTAGATGAATAGGTAGATGGCTGAATGGATACATAGATTGATACATGGATGGATGGATAAATAGATTGGTACATGGATGGATAGATAGATTGATACATGGATGGATGGATAAATAGATTGATGGGTAGGTAGATGGATGGATAGATCGATGAATGAGAGGGTGGATGGATGGATGGATGGATGGGTGTACATAAATATATATAGTTGTGTGCAAAACTTTTGGTGCCTGTGGTCAAATGCGATTTTGTTGTTTTTCTCAGTGTAAATAAGTGAATAATCCTCTACAGAGACACACTACTGCACATCTTACTGCACAATTAATGTGAAGACAAAATGTTCCCTGTGCAAAATTTATGGCACAAATATGTATTAGATTTTTTTTTATTTCAGTGCTTTAACTTAAATGGTTGAAAATTAAATTATTGTAAATTGTGCACCAAAATTTGCAGAAAATAACATATTTAAGTTATTTCTTTCTCTACAGAGAGGACGTGTTAACTTATTTCCACTTAGAAAGTCAACAGTACATCTCATTTGACCAGGACTGTTTAAACATTTCCATACGACTCTGTACAGATAGGTACATGGGTGCTGGACGGGTGAGTAGATGAATGGGTGGATATACAGATTCATGGATAAATGAATGGAGATTCTTCCTCAACACTGCTGTGTTAAGCCTCTGCCAGCAGATGGCTCTGTACTGCTGTGCTGCTGGAGATGGAGCCCGACAGCTCCTCCAGCCTGGAGTCAGATGACCACAAACTTTTTCCACTTCGACTGAAAGCTCTCAGATGGATGTAAAGCGGCACATTTAGGGCCTGAAGTCCACCAAAAAACTCTGGACAAACACACTTTCTTTAGTTCTGACCTTTTGGAGACGATATATCATGATATTGGGACTTCATTTTTGATGAAACTGACAAGAGAGGAAAGTTCAGGTAAGTCCATAACGTTGCTTAAGTGAAGGAAGGTGCTGGAATGTTTCTGGAGTTAAATTAGACTGATCTGATTTGAAAACATGAGTCTATGGTAAAGATTTATTTGTGGCCCGAAGCTCCAGGAAGTAGTCCGTTAAGCTTAGATGTTCTGCTATAAGAAAGATGTTTGAAAGCCTGTTAAAAAGGTTCAGAGAATAATAAGCCATAATGAGTCCTAAGAATGTGTGCCTATTTTTATTTTTAGCATCTTAAAGGGGATTTTAGAGTTCGGCCAGGAGGAGAAGAAAGGAAGAGCAGCGTTTGAGCAGACAACATTTGAATATTTTGAGTGTTCTTGATGAATTTGCTCTTATCCTGAAGGCCACACCGAGTCCCCTGTTGGAGAACCCAGAACTTATCTCAGTTCCTCATCATGGGAGACTGGAGTGCCTTGGCGAAGCTGCTAGATAAGGTCCAGGCGCACTCCACAGCTGGAGGCAAGCTGTGGCTTTCTGTTCTCTTCATCTTCAGGATCCTGGTGCTGGGCACGGCTGTGGAATCGGCCTGGGGGGACGAGCAGTCCGCCTTTGAGTGCAACACCCAGCAGCCTGGCTGCGAGAACGTCTGCTACGACAAATCCTTCCCCATCTCCCACGTGCGCTTCTGGGTGCTCCAGATCATCTTCGTTTCTGTGCCGACCTTGCTCTACCTCAGCCATGTGATCTACCTCATGCACAAGGAGGAGAAGCTGAAGAGGAAAGAAGAGAGGCTGAGGGCCGTCCAGAGCAAAGGAGAGGACACGGATGCCAAACTGAAGAAAATCGAAACCAAGAAGTTCAAGTATGGTTTGGAGGAACCTGGCAAGATCAAAATGAGAGGAGGCTTGTTTTATACTTACATAATTAGCATTGTGCTCAAGTCTGTCTTTGAGGTTGGGTTCTTGCTAGTACAGTGGTACCTTTATGGGTTCCGGTTGTCTGCGGTTTACACATGCGAGAGGTTCCCCTGCCCGCATAAAGTGGACTGCTTCCTCTCGCGGCCCACGGAGAAGACCGTCTTTATCCTCTTCATGCTGGTGGTGTCCCTGATATCGCTTGGTCTGAATGTCTTTGAGTTTTTCTACGCCGTCTTCAAGAGGATGAAGGATCAGATAAAAGAATCAGAGAAGCAGTTTGCCAGCCACAGCAACATCACGCCTTGCCCTGGCGACATGTCCAGCTACGGCTACTACAACCACTGCTCGGCTCCGGCTTCGAACCTGGGCTACAACCTGGACGGGGCAGAGAAATCGAACTCCTCAGACAATTTTGACAAACAAGCCAACGAGCAGAACTGGACGAATTACAGCACGGAGCAAAATCAGCTGGGCCAGAGAGAATTCTGCCAGTCCCAGCCGTTCGCATATCCAGAGAAAATGACTCTGGGAAAAGATCTCATGCTCCTCAAGCAGATTGACCCTCGACCCCACAGTCGCTCCAGCAGTCGGGCAAGGCCTGATGACCTGGACATCTAAGAGCAGCCACTTTACAGCCGCAGGCTTTAACATTTAAGGGGCCCATGTCCTACGTTATCCCCCCCCAGAGATCCATTTAGGGGGTTTATGTACCAAAAACGTAATTCGCTCTTACATGATCATTCCCAGCCTCCCTTTATTCCCTTTAAGTTAAATAGGCTGTTTTTGTCACTGACTGGTATATGTAAATTAGCTGCATTCTGATTGGTTGCTCTGTATTTTGCCTAACGCAAGGAGCAGTCTGGGTTGAAACACTCTTTATAACAAGGGTCGACAACCCAAATGTTAAGAAGAGCCATTTAATCCTTTCAACAAAAACTCCCTGGGGGCCACATTTTATATCCACTTTACCGTCTCGGCTGTAAACATGTCTCAGTATGTGCTAATATACTAGTGTAGGCTAAAAAATATAATATAAATGAAAATGCAGACTTACTTTCCTCTGCTTTAAGCTTTAGCTCAGCTATAGCCGCTTTTCTCGCATCTCCAGCAGGAAACTTTTCCAAAAGTAGAACAGTTTCTTGTAAAATGTCTCTTGTTTGATTTTTTTTTTTAGCTTAAGTCGCTTCTCATTCGGCAGCTTCTTGTTCAAATTCTCCCCGTTCCACCTTAAATGGCGCCTGAGGTGCCAGAATGTAACTGCTGCATTTTTTAAGGTGGAATGGGAAAATTCGAATAATAAGCTGGCAAACAAGAATCTGACTGCAGCTTTGCGACTTTTTAGTGTTTGACAGTTTCTTGTTGCAGATTAAACGTATCAGGAAACCAGCTGGAGTGATTATAAATGCAAATAAGTCCATCTCCAAAATTATCGATGATCATCTTAAATTTTCTCTTTGCCTTTTCGTTAGCTACTAGCTAGGTGAGACTTCTGTGTTTCAGGGTTAAATTATTAAACTCCAGAGTTTAAGACCATTTATTGTTAAACTGTGTTGAACGATCAGCAGAGCTTTATTTTACTGTAAAGGAGGATTATTTTATTTTTACCTACTAATCTAATTCTGCTGTGGAGCCACAACAGGACAGTAAAAGAGCCCCATGTTGCCGACCGCTGCCTTATAACTTCACTGTGAATGAGAGGGGCTAAACTGCTGTAGGCTGAATGTGGTTGTATGTAAATGTGTTGGGTTTTGTGACGTCACAAAACAGTTTAAAAACAGACTGTCTTTGCAGTTTTGTTGACAGCATGGACTGGGGAGTGAAGATTTTGAATGCTTTTACTAAAAAAAAGGCAAGAACATTGTGGTTGTCCATGATATGGGCCCTTTAAATGTCAAAGATAAGGCTGTAAAAACTGTAGGCCACTTAACTCAACCTTAGAAATGTAAACATCTGATTTCAGTTCTCAGTTCTCAAATCTCAGATTTCACCACACTTTTAAAAATACACTGAATGCCCAAATGTGCCAGGAGGATCTATTTACACAATAAAAACAATACAACAAACTTTTTTGGGGGATTTTTATGTTTGAAAATAGCCACAGGCTTTTATTTTGTCCAAACAATAAACACAAACATCATTGAATCGTCATTTGAAACATTTTTACTCCTCTAGTCTACAAAGTGGAATTAAAGCACTACAGAAGTATCGCTAGAACACTGCTGTGGCTGTCCTTGGGGCTTTTTTATCAGAGAGCATGAAAATACTTGTAATTCTCAGAGGACGTAGTCTTCTACCATCACTGTTTGAAAGGCTGTTTGTTGTTGAAAAGCTGCTCTTTCACTTACGGTTGTTCAACACCTTAAAACATTGCAGTGACAAGCAATTTGTTATTATTAATATCTACTAAGTGATATTTTCAGTTTTTTTCTTATATTTAAAAGCCCCATTTATTAGTATTTGCCTTTGATTTGTGCCAAATCATAACAATGTTTTGCTCTAAGTCATACGTCAAATGTGTGTTTTAGTCTGACTGATTTAATGTTACTGATAGCATTGCACAGTTTGCACTATGTCTGGTTGCCACTGGTGTTGAAATGCAGAGTGGACTGTCCAAAGACATTGTTATGGTCATTTTTTTAAAAGCTGTCAGTCTTGGTAGTGGAATCTGTCGTATTGTGTAAGTGGCCTTTGACCTAGTTTAAGTATCACTATGTAATTTCAACACCATTCAGTATGAAACCCACAGGGGAACGTGTTCAGTCCCACAGCAGAGAGCAGCGCTTTCCACATCACTTCTCTTCAGTTTCTGCTGGGGGTCAGTGAGGCCTGGACTGAGGAATCTCAGTGTTGCTTCAGTGAGGCCACGCGCATGTCGTTATAGAGACATGAATCTCATGTGTATTTGATAAACAGTATTGTGCAAAAGTTTTAGGCAGCCATGAAATTGGTTTAAAGCTGTGGATCTCAGCAGTGAAGCCAGTGGTAATGCTGAAATGTCGCCCTTTGATGGCTCAGGAGAGTTAAGGGTGATTCTCCTATGAAAGCGGTAAACAAAAACAAGACATCAGACACAGGAGAGATAAAGGAGAGATGAGTATTTAGTTGCAGATAAACTTAAATGTTATTGTCTTGTGAGGTTATTGAGTTTCACAGTTTACATCTGAGCAGCAGGAGAGACTTCAGCTAAAGTCTCTCGTCTTTCCCTCAGATCAGTGTTTCTCAGTCCTGGTCCTGGGGGCCCACTGTCCTGCACATTTTTCCTGCTTCAACACGCCCCCTTCAACTAATAAAGCGCTGTTAATGAGCTCGTTAGTTGGATCAGGTGTCTTGAGAGCAGGGAAAACACTAAAAAGTGCAGGGCAGTGGGCCTCCAGGAGCAGGGTGGCTGAGAGACACAGGCCTAGGAGGAAGTTCAGAGATATGTAGGAGAAGGAAATACACTATGGGAGCATCTGCCAGTCAAAACACAATATAACATTAGAATAAACTCAAACAAACAAATACACACACACACACATACACACACACACACACACACACACACATCCTCTAAACTGCTTATGTTTCACAAACAAATACAGTAAAACATAAAATTAGTATGTTGGTTAAGAAGAACACGGGTTTGGTTCCTCTTATCAATGCAGCTCCAGCCATTTAATGGATTTGTTCAATTCCACCATCAGCAAAACTGATAACTTAATTAAGCTGATATAACTTCAAGAAAGATTGATTAAACTGCTATAACTTAAAGAGGAATTTAATAAATTGGTTTAAACTAATGAAGGTATGATTAAACTGCTGTAACCCAAATGATTGAATAAACTGATGTAATGTAATGAAGGTATGATTAAACTGATATAACTTAAGGAAAGATTGAATAAACTGATTCAATTAATATACAATTGATTAAGCTGATTTAAACTTATGGAAAGCTCAATTAACTGATATAAAGTATTAAACTGATTTAATCTAATGAAAATAGAAGGATTGAATAAACTGATTCAATTAAACAATTAAGATGATTTGAACTTATAGAAATCTTGATCAAACTGATTAAACTTGATGAAGGGTTAATTAAATGTAATCAAGTGAAGGATTGATTAAACTGACATAATTCAAAGAAGATTTGAATACGCTGATGTAATTGAATTAAAGGTTGAGTAAACTGATTTAAAATTGTGGAAGTAGTGACAAAACAGGTTGAAATTTATTGATGGATTGATTGAACTGATTTAATGTAATGAGGAATTGATTAATTTAATTTAATAAAGGATTAACCAAGCCTTCTTTAAGTTATATCAGTTAAATCACACCTTCGTTGGATTAAATCAGTTTATTCAATCCTTCTTTAAGTTATATCAGTTTAATCATACTTTCTTTGGATTAAACCAGTTTACTCAATCCTTCTTTGTCATATCAATTTAATCATACCTTCATTGGATTAAATCTGTTTACTCCATCCTCCTTTAAATTGTATCAATTTACTCGTACCTTCACTGGATTAAATCAGTTTACTCAATCTTTCTTTAAATTATATCAGTTTAATCACACCTTCTTTGGATTAAATCAGTTTACTCAATCCTACTTTAAGTTAGATCAGTTTAATCGTACCTTCACTGGATTAAATCAGTTTACTCAATCTTTCTTTAAATTAGATCAGTTTAATCATGACTTCATTGGATTAAATCAGTTTATTCAATCCTTCTTTAAATTAGATCAGTTTAATCACGCCTTCACTGGATTAAATCAGTTTACTCAATCCTACTTTAAGTTAGATCAGTTTAATTAGCCTTCATTCGATTAAATCAGTTTATTCAATCCTTCTTTAAATTAGATCAGTTTAATCACGCCTTCACTGGATTAAATCAGTTTACTCAATCCTACTTTAAGTTAGATCAGTTTAATCATGCCTTCACTGGATTAAATCAGTTTACTCAATCCTACTTTAAATTAGATCCGTTTAATCATGCCTTCATTGGATTAAATCAGTTTACTCAATCCTTCTTTAGGTTAGATCAGTTTAATCGTACCTTCACTGGTTTAAATCAGTTTACTCAAACCTTCTTTAAGTTAGATCAGTTTAATCACACCTTCATTGGATCAAATCAGTTTATTCAACCCTTCTTCAAGTTATATCCGTTCAATCATAACTGTACAGATCACTTTTCCTAGATGCCTAAGACTTTTGCACAGCGCTATATGTTCCTAATACTTGACATTTGTATGATTGAGTTGTGAGTTATGTGCACATTTTGGATATGTGAAATATGCGAGTGTTATACTGTAAATATAATCCTCCAGAGACAGCTCCCCGTCTTACCTTACTTTTTCCATTACAGGTGGAGGATTTTTCCGAGCTTTTGTCTTTTTTTTATGTTTTTTCCACTGAGGGATGGTGGCCAGCACAGAGCCCTGAGCCAAGAGTACAGAACGCACAGACTGACTCAGCTGCACTTCAGCGCAGTGAAGTCAGACGTGGGCATTGTAAATTTACTGTAGCGGCTCAATAACGTCTCTTTTCTCATTTCATACATTTCATAACTGGCTGAACGATCGCTGCTGGTGATAAATGGAAGCCTTTTTAGAGGCCGAAATTAAAAGGAGGTAATGATATTCAACTTTTCCTCTGTTCTCAGACTTTCCTATTTATCCACACGGCTAAATGAAAACACATGTCTGCGCTGGGCTCTGCCAGCCGTGCGGGCCGTGGTTGGAAAGGAGGAAAAAAAACAAAGGCGTTTGAGCTGCGTACTCACACTGCACTCAGACACACATGGAAACTTTCTCTGTGTATGAATTGCATAACATACTTAATTTAACATGA